CTAACCAAAGGTGTGTCAATTCTGTTTATTTTTTCAAAGAACCAACTTTTTGTTTTATTAATCTTGGTTATTAATTTTGGTTTTATTAATCTTGGTAACCGTATGGTTACCCTGTTGTCAATTTTGTTTAGTTCTGATTTGATCTTAATGATTTCACTTCTGCTGCTGGGTCTGGGATTGGTATGTTCTTAATTTTCCAGCTCTTTGAGACGATTCATTAGATTGTCTATTTGTGATCTTTTCGACTTTTGGATATAAGCATTTATGGAAATAAACTTTCCTCTCAGGACTGCTTCAGCTGTGTCCCACAGGTTTTGATAACTTGTATCTCCTTTGTCATTTAGTTCAAAGAATCTTTTGATTTCCATCTTGATTTTCTCATTTATGAAGTGATCATTCAGCAGAAGGTTGTTTAGTTTCCATGACTTTGTGTAGAAATGAGAGTTCCTGCTAGGGTTGATTTCTACTTTTATTCCATTGTGATCTGAAAAAATACATGGTATAATTTCTATTTTTTAAAATTGTTTGAGACATGCTTTGAAAAGACATTCTATAATAAAGATATCTGCACTAAAATGTTTATAGCAGAACAATTCACAATTGCAAAGATGTGGAAACAACCCAAATGCCCATCAATACATAAGTGGATTAATAAAATGTGGTATGTGTATACCATGGAATACTACTCAACTACAAAAAAACAGTGGTGAACTAGCACCTCTTATATTATCCTGGGTAGAGCTTGAGCCCATCCTTCAAAGTAAGATATCACAAGAATGGAAAAATAATCACCACATGTACTCACCATCAAATTGGTACTAACTGATCAATGGTAAGATGCTTACATGGAAGTGATAGTCACTGGGTGCCGGTCAGGCAGGAGGAGTGTGATGCTAGTGGGTAAACTTATAACTAATGAATGCGGTGCACACTATATGGGGGAAGGGCAAGCTTGTAGCCCAGGCTTGGGCAAAGCAAAGGCATTATATGTAATCAAAATGTTTGTACTGCCATAATATTCTGAAATTAATAAAAAACATGAACGTCTATTCATTGTCTAGATTTTGGGGGAAGGGAAGTCAAGGCCTTGTCCTGCATGAGCCACTATTTGATTTTTCTGTAACAGAACAAGCTAAATAACAGAACAAGCTAAATCAATAATTCACTATTCAGTATTCCCAGTTTTTATTTCTCGAAAATGGCCACAGAACTCATTCAAATTGTTACAAGAGTCCAGCTCCTTCTAGGCCTGTATGATTTGCTTTGTCTTTTACCATTGTCTCTGCTACACTTAATCAAACAGTAGATTTTTTGTGACTTGCTTTTATTTAGCCTTTCCAAAGCATTCATCTTATTCAACTTAGTTGTTGAAGAAATACTAAAGTTGTTCTTGTCCTCCCATTTAATTAACATAACATTTTGTTACATTATTTAATGATGACAACACACTGGACTGGTGGGAATAGATAGAAAGAGCAAAGCAGCTTCTCAGAGGCATTTGGTGTGCCATGGACATCTATCAATATGTTTTATCGAGGGGAAGGTGACTATTTTCAAGAAGTCCTTGGCCTTACACGTGCCCATGTTCGGCACTAACTTCACTTAATGGACTGTTGTTCAATTGCTCACTCCCTTTATGTGCTCAACAAAACGCCTGCTGTCTGCCTTGTTAACCCTGGCAATTTCTTTTGCTTGTTTTCTTGGCTTAGCATTCTTGCCTAAAAAAAAAAACAAGCCCACTCTGTCCAGCTATATTTCTTCTTGTGATAGAGGGCTATTAAGGAGGATTATATAATCTACACTTTTGACAAGAAAAATCATTTTGTGATTGAAGCCTGAGCTGGAAAATGGTCCTTGGAGGTGTGAGTAGTGACCTGGACCCTCCTGTATGATGTCGTCTCTTATACAGGTGCTTTATCCTGGGCCCTGTTTCCAAGGGACCAGTGCCTTGTGAGATGGGGATTTGAGGGCAAGCAATGAGGGAGTGTTCTCAGTACCTGTCAGAAAACTGTACAGAAGTGTGGGAAGCAGGATGAGGCAGAGAAAGAAGCTAAGTAAGAATGTGGCTCCAGGTGAAGGCTCAGCCTAAACCCAGCGGAGCTCTGGGCCACAGAACATTTCTTGCCTTGAAGGCACCACTGGGCAGGGAGGAGGGAAGGAGTGTAACTTGCGGAACCACAGCTTCCATCATCCAAGTGCAGTCCTCCAGACAAGTTTGCAGTTACGTGAGCAGGTAGCAGCAGCTAAGCAATGCGTGTGTGAAAACTCATTTGATAGAAGCAGTTGAAGGGGATCTGGGTAGATAATTAACTGTCTCCTAATTAAAAAATATCAGATATTAAATGTGTGGCATTTTAAAAACAGCTACTTTTATTGGACCCTATTTATGAGCCTTCCTAGATTTTCTTGGCTTTACTTGACTCCTGGGCTCTCAACTGGTTGGCCAAAAAGAGCCCTTGCCTCCATGCTATTGTCACATTTCCAAATGTCAAGAGCTGATCCCATCTCCTCTGGGGAGGCCAACTTCAGCATGTCCCCCATTGTACCCACCACAGCAGGAACTGAAGCAGCTGCAGAGTCTAGACATAACTCAGGGAGACTGAGAATGTGGGTTCCCCTGCCTTGTATTTGCCAGACTCAAACACAAGGTATCATACAGTTCAAATGTCATACAGTGAGGCAAAGCACCTGGCTTTTGCAGTGGCAATCCCTAGGGGCCAGGTGAACAACCAGGAACAACATGGGACTTAACACCCCACGGGGGAATCTTCAACCAGTACGAGAAACCTATGGATTTATTCCTTTTGCTCTCTTCGTCTGACGGATTATTTTGAGGTGCTGAAGGTCTAGATAGCATGTCTAGAGATGGCTCTTGTGACTGAGCAAGTGTCTATATTTTCTATTCAGAAGCTGTTACCAGCGAGGCAGTTACCACCTAGTGTCTGCTTTGCATTCTTCCTTGTTTCACTTCCCCTTTTCCTTCACTCTTGCTGCCCTGTATTGCACCTCTGCACTTCCCCACAAATGCATTGGCGCATACTCTTAGCCTGTTTTCAAAAAAACAAAACAAAACAAAAAAACAACCCTAGAGATTTAAAGTTTTAACCCAATATAAGAATCCCATAAGTGCTAAAATTTCACTGTAACGCATCAGGGGAGAGAGCTTGAGTAAAGAGAGGGTAATCTTAAAATTGTTCTTTTGTTCTTTTTCTGTCTAAACAAAGTCAATCCTATTAAAATCTAAGTGGATGCTAAGGAGAAATCCCCAGGATACTACAAAGAGTTTTCCTTTTGTTAAGACTTCTTTTATAAATTGGCTCTATGTGTGGAGAGGCACTGAATTCAAAAATAATGTGAAGGAGAACATAGCTCCCTAGAAGCTGCTTTTTCTCAAAGGAATTCAGAAGTTATGAACTGGCATGATGATGTGAGTGACGAGAAATGTTCTTTTACAAATAAGAGAATTGATGTGTTCTGTGGCTCTGGCCAGATCCAGACCAGCAGTTACGAGGCCAGGATTAGTCTTTTTTTTCTTTTAAGTGGGCAGATAACATTTTTATCGTGTACAACATGCTTTGAAGTACATATACGTTGTGGAATGGTCTTAAGTGCTACTAAGGTGCAGGCTAGAGAATCTGACCAACCACAAGTGATGTTTGTCATTGTCACAATTAGTGCCGATGGCTATAGTACATTTGGTCTGCAGCTATTAAGATGGGCATAGAAATAGCTGTTCTATCTTTTTTATTTTATGCTTGTAGAAATGGCCTCAATTTTCTCATCTGTCTGATTAGTCTTAGCATCTAAATTTCTTTTTGCCATATTCCATCACAGAGGTTGCCTCTCTCTGCCTTTCTCCCTCACATCCGAAATCTAGCCCAAATGTACCAGAACAAAATGCTTCTAATACTTGAACTCTTTTGTAAGGGTGCTGATTGCAACTTGGGTAATTTCGGTTTAATCCAAGGTGGAAGCTTTCTGCTGTTTTTGAGGAAGAAAATAAATGTCTAAAAATAAAACTTAGGCATAAAAATAAGACCAAATACTCATTAAATGCCTCATTTAGCTGAAAACTGAAATTATTTCAACCATGCTAAATCAAGCCTTTGTGTAGAAGAGGTAGTGTATTTTTTATTTGTAGTACTTTATCTTAGATGATAAATGGGTTACTGTAATTTGTCATTCAAAAAGCATGAATTAAATAGTTCTCAAGTACCCAGTATTCAGCTCATGCTGACCCTTTAATTGGTGCACTTGTGTTCGCAAGTCTTTTGGAATGCATTTTGTGGGCTGCCATGGAAGAGGCTGGACCAGGAGGCAGAGTATGCAAGGCTTGGGATGCTAGGGTTAAGAATTTGGGTCTTATTCTGCATGTGGTGGGAAGCCACTGGAGTGATTTAATTAGAAGAATGTTACAGAATAATTTATTTTTTAAAAATATGACTCGACTGCTGTGTTGACAGTGGATTGTAAGGTGACAAAAGTAGAAAAATGATAATCAGCCAGATGTCTCTTTTTAGCTATCCAGGCAAGAGATGATAGTGGCTTTGGAGAAGAATGCTAATAGAGTTAGAAGTGGAAAAATAACGGTGTTTAATCTATTAACAACAACAAAAGACTGGTTAATGGATTAGATATGGAATGTGAAGAAATGGAAGAATCAAGATTGATTTCTAAGTTTCTGGTCTAAACCACAGGACAAATTTGGTACCAATTATTGAGATGAAGACTGGAGGAGGAACAGGATAATTTTATTGTCTTGTTTTGTTTGGGATAGGGCATGGAGCAATGGAAAAAGGGAAGCAGGGAATGAAATGGAAATGAAGGGCTCATGTTAGCTTTGGGCATCTAAGCAAATAGGTCAAATGAGCAGTTGACTCAGTAAGTTTGAAAACCCTTGGTGTACAGATTGCATTCAGAGCCATGAGAGGAACTCTCCTAGGCAAAGAGTGTAGAGAAAGTAGAAGACCTGAAAACATTCTATATTTCCACATAAATAGGGCAAGCAGAGGAGAACCTGTAAAGGACTAAGAAGGAGCAGCAGTGGGGAAGGAAAAACTTGGACAAATGTGGTACTCTAGAACCCAAGAGAAGAACCTTACAAGAGGAAGATAACAGTGAATTTGCTGAATACTACTGTGAGTGGGAGGAGGATGGGGACAAACGATATCACTGTTGTGGGTAATATGGAAGTTCTTGGTGACACTGACAAGGGCAGTTTATGACATATCATGCAGATAAGAGCCCAGAGTGGAATAAGGGGAGACTGTGAAGGGAGAAATGGGGACAGCTATTTAGACAACTATTTTAAGAAGTTAATGGAGTGGAGAAATAGGTAGATAGCTAATCTAGAGTCAGAATAATTTTTGCTTTTTCTCATGTTCCTAAGATTGGTGATACTGAAGCACTTATGCTTATGGAACTGATCTAGTAGAGAGATCCTGATAATGCAGGAGAAAGATCGTTCTACATTACCAAGAAATTGCTGGACAAATTTCTCAAAGGTGTGGGATACAGAGCGCGGTAAACTGTTTGCCCTTGGATAAAGGCAGAAGGAGAGGCAGAAAGAGTGGACCCAGCAGTAAACAGTGGGCTGAATTGGTGATAGCAGGATAAGGGAGTATCCATAATCAATCACAATGAATTAATGAAGTGAGAGTATTAGCCAAAAGAGAGATGGGAAAAAGGGAATGTTGGAAGTTTCAAGAGAAGGTGGCAAATATTGGAGTCATTACAGGCAGTGGGATGATGAACACATAGCAGGATAGTGGGCATGGAATGTCCCAAAGTTACAAAAATCAAGGTGGATTTGAGTTTTGCCTGGAAAGAGGCTGTGATTAAAGTTTTTTTTTAATGGCCTATAAAGGCAAAGTATGATTACATGTGCATATATTTTCACAGCAGAAAAACAAGTTTAATAGTTACCTGTAATCTTACCATTCAGAGGGAATCACTGTCATATACACCTTTTCACATATTATATATGCAAATACTTCTATAGAAAGAAATATAAAGATCTTAATTTTGATAAAACTATTTTAAAGAAGTTTCTACTATTTTAGCTGTTGTCCTGAGAGAAATTGGAGCTATTGGAGTGATAACTTTGTTGCATTGCAAATGTTTTTCTTATTGATTGTATTTTAATATTTGTTTTTGTTGCTTTTCTAATTTTTATGTAGATAAAATGGAAAATGTATAGTCATGCTAAAAAGGCCCTCTTCTAAGGTTGTATATACAAATTTTCTGGTCTTTAAAATGTAAAAAGAGCCTATAAATTATTAATCTACCAGGTTTTATTTTGATAAGATGTGATAAAGGAATCTAATTTTACTTTTTAGGACAGTTTTAATCATTCTTAAAGCTCACATCCCACAAAAAATATGGAATACATTTTTGTAATAGAGCTCTCAAATGATATTTAAAATTTTTTCTTTTAGAGGTTTTAAAACCAATTATGTACTATTATTTAAACAAGCTATTTCTTAAAGAGAAAAATTATCTGTTAATACCATCATCAGAGAAAATCAGTTATATTTTACTTACTTGAGAGACTATGTTATGTGTGTACACAGTTTTCTATCTGTATTTTCTCACTTTTTTGAGTTTTTGAAACATTCTTTTAAGCCATAATATGAATTTAGTGGCTTGCCCTATTTTGGACATTAAAGAATATATTTTTAGGTTTTAATTGGTTTTGTATGTGTGATTTTAAATAACACCACAGTTGACACCATTGGCATTTAATATTGAATTGAAATTGTTTTTAGTATTTTTTACTATAAAAGTAATACATGTCCATTATAAAAAGCTTTAAAAATAACAAAAGCAATTATCCAGAGAAACACCATTGAAGGTATACTAAATCTTTATTCATTCAACAGCCATGTTTCAGCACCTCTTATGTAGCAGGTAGTACTTCAGATGTGAAACCTCTTCAGAGTTAACATCCTAGTCATACATCCTGTCAGTATCATAGTACAGAAACGTGCATTCTTTTATAAAAGGGACCATGCTAGTTAGAAATTGTACTGTAATCTGATTTTTCTCCTAGGATGTCTTAAGAACTTCCTTCCATGCCATTTTAACCATCTTTTGCAATGTCATGTTTAATGGCTACAAAAGAATTATTTGTGTGGATGTACCATAGTTTAAATAATGTCCTAGAGTCAGACACTATAATTCTTTTCTAATTTCCTTTTGCATTTAAAGTCCATAACATGCATATTTTGCTTCTTTGATAGCATAACTAATATGACCTCCACAAGACATGACGGCACAGGTGGTGTTATCTATCTTTCTTATTCTCATACCACTTCTGAATGGATTTCAAGGTAAATGCCTCTTAATACAAGTGTTTAGCTTTTTGTATCATTAAGTAGGAACATGAGTACACAATGCAAGGTGGCTATTGCCTCTATAGCCACAGCATTTTGAACTTTCCTAAATGATCAGTTTATGAGTAACAGGGATCATTCTGGAAGTCTACAAGAACATTAAGGCTCTTTATAATCTGTTATCTGCTACCAGAAATAAAATCACTAGAAAGGCAAGTTTGATTGATTTTAAGTGTAAGTATGGTACTTAACACTTGACAGAAGGCGTTATCAGCTTTGCTAGGTCCAGTGACAGACATTCTTAATTATCCAATGAAATATTATATTAGAGGGGTTTAGTAGAGCAATTAGAGAAGTTGATAATCACTCCTTTCCTTTCCCACATTTCCATATCTTTCTCTTGGCATATACCACCACATCTCTCCATTTCTCTGCAGAGAAACTAAATCTGAGGAAGAGAGGAGGGACATAGTGGGGTGGAAAGTGCCCCAGAGGGAACAGACTGTGTAGAGCCACATGGGCACCCAATTCTCCCATCTTGGGTGGCCTTGGCCGAAATCCAAAGAATTTTACTCCTTGGTCCATAAATTAGGTCCTTTGTAGTCCTACTGTCTTAGAATCCATAGAGAAGGGCACAAGATCTACCTAAAATAATTTGTAAATTGGTCAAAGAAATTGAATACTGCCTTCAATGATATGAAGTAGCTAGATATATTTTCTTTGCAGAAATACTTCTTGAGTTGGATCATTTGCCTTTTGAAATCAACTTCTGAAGTTGATAAAAAAAAAAATCAAGAAGATTGGACATCTACATTTACATCCAGAATAATATTCCTTAACTATGTTTTAACTGGCTCACAGGATATCCTGAGTGGTCCTAAAGTTAAAGTGAATGAGTTACTCCATTTCCCCGTTTGGACTTCTTTCCATGTCCTTTTCTGCTTGTGACTAATGTCCAGATATTCTAGCAGATTCCTGTCTAGCAGAACTGTCTTCTATATGCTCCAAATATTTCCGAATCCTATCAAGCTAAATTTGTTTCATTTTTCCAGGGCCTGATGGCTCTAGTTAGCTGAATAAACTAATTGATTATTGTTACAGTAGGTGTTAAAAATGAAAGTGCTTTGAGAATGAAAAATTAACAAGAGTCTTTCATATATGTAATTTCTAGAACTGTGGCAGGCCAGGATTGGAGGAGAGACAAGACTATTGATCAAGTGGGTAGCAAACCAGCCCTATGCTTTGGGCTGTTGCCAATTCTCACAGTAAGATTGAATAAAACAGCTATTCAATTGAAATTGAAGAAATTCAAATCCAGAGCTTCGTGGCTTGTTTCTATTAATCAGAATACCAAGAGTTCTTGATGATGATGTCTGTTAATGGTCAGGCTGCTGATTTAGGAAAATTCTTTTTGGTAGGCTTGATATGACACTTGACAAGCACTCATCACTAATTCTCTTTATAAATTCTCTACCCTTGATTGCAGATAGCTTCTTTTCAGCTTTATTCAGTTATTTGAGTAGTACAAATGAGCAAATCATCATTGGAAGACTTGATGAAGACATAGTTCTCCCTTGCTCATTTAAGAGTGGACCCGAAGTTGTAATTCACTGGAAGACTCAAAATAAGACCATCAATGTTCACAGTTACTACAAAGGCAGTGACCATTTGGAAAGGCAAGATCCCAGATATACAAACAGGACATCCCTCTTCCAAACTGAGATTCACAATGGGAATGCTTCTTTGTCTCTCAGAAGATTAAGCCTCATGGATGAAGGAACTTACATCTGCTATGTAGGAACTGCAATTAGTACGATCAGGAATGTAGTGCTAAAGGTGGGAGGTGAGTGTGCACATAATAATGTTTTATAAAATACACAATGACATTATTCCATGTTTTTCTAAAATGTCTTTTTCATAAGTTTATATGCTATCGGCTTCTTTCCCAGTGAATACATGCAAATCTACCACATTTTTTTAATGTGTACTATCTCATAATGTAGACATGTTATAACTGATACAAGCATTCCCCTGTTGGCGGATGCTCAGGCATTTCCAGTGTTTTATAATACACCACAAACAATAAATATCCTGATAGTTAACACTGGGACATGATCTGAAAATAAAGTACCAAATGGAAAATTTTAATATGTTACTAACAGTATCAGCATAAGATTTTCGGTTTTCCCCTTAGTCTTACCTGCACCAAAATGTTATCAATCTTAAAAATTTCTGCCAATACGAAATTGACTTAAATTTCATTTTTCTATATTATAAATGAAGTTAATTTTACATTACATGCTTTCTTCTTCTATATTAATGTATATCTATATAACTATATATAGATATATAACCATATATACAGTTAATATGGTTAATATCTTAGCTGTATTAATATATTAACTGTTTCCAATTCTCACAGTTACATTGAACCAAGCAGGTACACAGTTAAAATGAAGAAATTCAAAGACAGAGATTCATGGATTCTTTCTATTTATCAGGTTACCAAGGGTTCCTAAAGATGTGGTCTGCTAATGATCAGGCTGATAATTAATATATTTATTAATTAATATCATATATATAATATACTAAACATATAGCTATATATATGGGCAGTATTTTCCAATAAGTTGTTTTTTCCAGAACTTTTTCCTTTTCTTTCTATCCCATTTAGCTGCTTCAGACCTTGACTCAGAAATCTAAGAATTATGTGTAAACAAAGAGTCAAATAGGCACTCTGAGCTTGTATCTGGAGAGTTTAGAGTGCTGCGTGAACTCTAGTTTATAGACCATGACACCCTTATTTTGGTTGTTCAATGAGGCCGTTAGATTTCTTTTTCAGCCATGTTTCTAGAGAATTGAGATTGCTAGTTGACATGTACCCATGCAAACTCTTTTTGTATTCCTTCTAGATAACTATATTATATCTTAAGGTTCTACAAGTTGTTTTGTTTTTTTTTTCCTTTCAGTAACTGCTGAGTTTTGCTCATAAAACTTAGCTTTTCATTTCATGGGTATTAAAAAGTATTCTGCACAGATGGCCCATAAAGAAGCTAATGATGACAGTTCTTCGTGTACCCTTCTTTCTCCCATATAGCTTTCCACACGCCTGTGATAAAGTATGAGAAGAGGAACACAAAGAGTTCCTTAATATGCAGCATACAGGTTTATCCTCCTTCAAATATCACGTGGAAAATGGATGACACCACACCTGTCTCTCAAAGTAAAATGGAAGAAATCAGGTCTTCGGGTCCTTCTTATATTAAAAGTACACTGGATATCACAGGATCAAATTCATCTTATGAATGTGCTATTGAAAATTCATTGCTGAAGCAAACCTGGATGGGACGATGGGCAAGGAAAGGTAGGCCCCATAGGGAACTTTCTGTGGACAAGTGCTATGCAGAGGTTGGGAGGTAATGGGGATTGATTTACAAGGAAAGAAAAAAAGAAAGAAAATCCATTTGTGGCAGTTAGAAGACCAAGACTGAAGTCCTAGGGCTAATCCTTACTGATTGTTTTATATTAAGCAATCATTTTTACTTCTGAGCATTAGTTCCTCAATGATTAAGTGGAAGTAATTCTTACCTTGCTGAGTATTTGATTTCAATGAAAGCATTTGTGAAATGGAAAGAAGCAGATCTATCCATGACTATTACTATATTTTTCAATGGCTCATTCTCTAAACAGGATTTTCTATCTGCATCACACTTTAAAAGATCAGAGAAGGAAGGAGAACTTGTCTTTTAGAAAGTCACAAGCTCCAATTCTTCCCAATCTTTCAACTAAAATAAAGTTAACTAATTAGTTAAAAGATTATTCCTTCTGTCTAATCTCTATATCCACCACCTCTATCGCAGCATGATCAGTTTTTAACACTCCTTCCTCTCCTTTATTTGAATAAACCCAAACTGTGATCAAGCTCTATGTCTGTAAACTACTGTTCAAGAAAATATTAAGGGGCAAAAAAATTAATTTGATACCTCCCTATCCAATCCAAGGAAAAATATTGTTTTATATTAGTAACAATCTCCCTTATATGAGGAAAAAGGATTAGCTATTTTTTTTCAGCCTTCACTTCCCCAGGGTTTCATATTCTCAAAATACCAAAAAAAAAAATACTGAGTGATGCACCACCTTTACATGAGTCCAGTGTTAAGGGTATGAGCACCCAACATTATTTTCTATCAGTCAGGCAGCAATAGAAGCATGGGAAATGGTTGAAAGGGTTAATATTAGATTGTTAATATTTTCTTTGGAAAATCACAATTTCTCATGTTTACTCAGGATTGAATGTCCTGAAGCATCAACAGTTCCCTAGGCTCAGTACTGTTTTGTCTTGTTGAGAATCTAGTATGTGCCAAGTTTCATCACTTTCAGACTGTGAACTCAAGAACGTGGACTCTTCTTACTCATTTCTGGATCCATAATATTTAGCACAAACACACAGAAATAGAACTAAACTGGGAACGTAGCATACAAAGGGAGTGATTTATTCTTTTCACTGGGGTTGAACATGAATGGGGTTGTTACAGAATATGTGCTTAAAGAAGTTGCATAAGGGTAATTTTAGAAGAGTAATAGGACATTCCAGGGGGATATAGGCATTCCAGGTAAAAAGCAAAGAAGAGTAAATTTGCCTGGATTTGTGAAGTATAAGGTGATTAAGGGTGAAACTAGAGGATTAAGAGATGAACGGTCCTGGAGGTAGGATGGAACCAAGGAAGGACTTGAAGCATCAGAGAGACTCTGGATTTTAGATGGATTGCTTTGGCATCACTCAACTCACCTGCAGGTAGACTGAAAAGTAGGTGAGTCTGGAGCCAGGGAGAGCCATCCATGGTATTCCATAGAGTTCAGCTTACAGAACTGGAAGGATGAGACAAAGCTGGATCTGGAGATGCAAGCCAAGAAGACCCAGCAGGATCCCTCTGCTAAAAGGGGGTGGGTGGTGGGAATTACCTGTATATGCTTGGAAATATTCTTATGTGCAGGAAAAGAGACTTTGTCTAGATGAAGAGATTAAGAAGCAGCTGAAGTCATAAAAGTAACAGGTCTCCTTGGAGTAGGTAGGGTAACAAGAGGGAAGTCCTGAGCAACACCAGCATTTGAAGGGTCAACAGAGGAAAAACATCAGGTTAGTAACTAGTAGCAGCATTCCTGGATGTTTACTTCCAGTTGTGGGAGTTAAAACCCAGGGACGTCACTTTCTTAGCTGGCCCTGGCTTTCTTGAAGGCCTAACCTAGTGTTGGTAGGAAACTTTAAAATGGTATTAGTAAAGCTTTTCTTTCAAGAAACTCCACAGCATAAATATCTAATTGCTTTCCAAAAAGGTATTTCCAAAGATATCAATGTTAGCACCTCTGTTTCCTGCTTTCTATGTGTGACTTAGAAAATGGATTCAAAATTTTTATCTTTAATCATGTTTCCTTTTCTATTCTGTTGTTAGATGACCTTCATAGAAACCAAAGTGAACATGTTTCACTTTCATGTCAACTTGTAAACAACTCTTTTCCACTGAACCAAGACTTCAGAGTTACTTGGTCCAGAGTGAAAAGTGGGACTTCCTTTGTCCTGGCTTACTATCTGAGCTCCTCACAAAATATAATTATCAATGAACTCCGATTCTCATGGGACAAAGAGCTGATAAACCAGAGTGACTTCTCTATGAATCTGACAGATCTTAGTCTTTCAGATAGTGGGGATTATTTATGTAATATTTCTTCAAGCAAATACACTTTACTCACCGTCTACACACTGCATGTAGGTAAGTTGCAAGTAAGTTTGGATAATGGGTTTTGGTTGTAGCAGTAGGGGTTTGTGAATATCACACAGAAAGGCTAGCTTTTAAAGAATATATTAGTACTTCTCAAAATGTTATCTACAGGGATATTTCTGGTCAGGATATAGATACCCACTCCCACCCTTCAACTACACAAAAGTCCCGTATTGGGGAAAAATACTCCTGCAGATCTCCTCTTCAAATCTTCAAGCCTGAAGATTTCAAGGCTTCAGAAATGAAGAGGAGTCCTATACATTTTGATGATATCTTGGATGAAGCATCTTAAATTTCTGCTCATTTCTGTGCCCAGTATGTGCCTTAGGGCCTGTGTTTGGGGAGTTGAGGCTGCAGACACATTAGGAGTTAAAATTGAGGCCCTGCTGAATGCTGGGGAGATACGGCACTGTCTATGAACTTGGTAGAAATAGTCACCACACAATATTTGAAGCACTAAGTATGTGCCTAATTCAGCCCATTTTTGCTTCTGTGAACTGCCAAAATTCATTATCTAAAATATTTCTAGTCAACCAACCACAGAATCATGAAATGTTACTCATGAAGCTGACTTTCTAGGTGAGCTGGATGTTCTCCCTACCCTTAAACTATCCATTTCACCTCATGGGAGACCATGGCAACTCTTTCTGCCCTTTAATAAAGTATTTGAGTCAGTGGAACATATGTTTTAGTAATTTCTATCATCCCAATTGTGAAAATTAGGAATAACAGATTTGAAAGTTTGGTGATTCTACGTAGTGAGATTTGGAGATAAGAGCACAGAGTTGTCCCTAGGTTATGTGGTCTTCAAATAGATAGAAGCTTCCAGACACTGAGTGACAGCAGTCCCTTTTTGTAGAGCTGCCACTTGGAGCATATAGAATGAAAAACTTGGGATACATTTGAAGCTCCTATTTTTCTCCAAAATATAAGAGTGTCAGTTTTATGTAAAATACAGTTAAGCCTACAGTCTATTTTTAAAACTGTTGCTTCATGTTGCATTCATTTTAGAATGTAAAAAATAATCAGGAAGAAATGTCCCAAGGACCACATATGGCCCATCTTCCCACCCAGATATCTAATTTTCAGTTCATGCAAAGTGAAACATCAGGACCATTTCATCTCTGACAAAGAGGCTTCTCAGAACCTCTCATTCTCAAGTAAACCCTGGCTAGCTGGGACTGAGGGATGGTCTGCCCTCCTAGGAAAAGGCCTGTAGCAAGTAAACCACCCCAGCAGGACAGAGAACAAGTCAAACAGTCCTGGTATCCTAATCCCCACCCTTTTAAGCAAACTGGGTTTTCTACTCTGAATTACAATTTTCCATTTGCAGCCTTGCCCAGGAGATGCTCCAACATTTAAAAAGGAGGCCCAGATGGGGGGTATTTATGATTCTGAGACTCTATTAATAGATTTGCCCAATTAAGGTTGCACTGAACTGAATGAAATGAAATAGTTCTTGCTAAATTTTGCTGCTGAATCAGTATGTGATCTTGGACAAATCTCAGATGAGGGAACCTTAGGGTCATGGATAAAGTGAGAAGCAGCTATACCTTGCAGAATTTTCTTCCGGAGGAAAACAATGCATATCAAAATACTTTAGAAAGTCAGGCTAGCATTTCTATGTAATCTCTCCTTCACATAGGTACAGTAGCCCCCCGTTATCCTTGGGGAATATGTTCCAAGACCTCCACTGGATGTCTGAAACCACAGATAGTACCTAACCCTATATGTGCATTGCCACATAGTACCAGAATGAATCTATTCTTCTTCCATGTTTTATGCCCTGCTGCCTCCTTTGCCCTTTTGTGAATGTAGGTTCTATTCGGGATTTTCTTCCAGAAGAGCTCACTTTCATTGCAATTGAAATGAAGACTTGCTTTGGATGGTATCCTTAACTTCAACTCTGCCAGAAATGCTGCAATAGCTTCTTTCTCAGCAGATGCAGCCTCTTCAGTAATTTTTGTGTTTTCATCCCAACCTATTCCCTCATTTTCAGTAAATGGTTTGGTGTCACTCATTTTGGGGGATCCTTTGCTGAAATCTTCATATATGCTCAATGCTTTCTGGTACAACACATTGCCTTCAATTGGAACATGTTTCTGTTCCTCTCTTCTATCAACAAATTTAATGCTTTTTCTATCTTCACTAAACATTTATAATAAATACACTGAGGCTGTAACTTTTGCAGTTTGAGGCATGACAGCAAAACTAGCACAAGTTTCTTCTTTCTATACAATTTTATGGGTAGAAGATTCATCACTTTTACCATACTTCTTCCAAATCTCAGTATTTGATTTTTGTTGTGGTTATTGTTACATCAAGAGTTTTCACCTTAAAGGAACCACTTTATGACTTCTCTCTGACATATCCAAATTGCCAGAGTTCCTATTCTTGTGCTTTGGGGCCATTCTTAAGCAAAATAAGGATGACTTGAACAAAAGCATTGCAACTTCATGACAGTTGCTGATAACCGTTGCTGATGGCTCCCAAGTGACTAATGGCAGTAGCACATACAACATGGATCTCTGGACAAGGATGAATCACATCCAAGTGGGAACGCACCAGGATAGAATGAGACTACATCACACTACCTCGGAATGGCATGCAATTTTAATCTTACATATTGCTTATTTCTGGAATTTCCCATTTAGTATGTTTAGATCACAGTTGAACGTGGGTAATTGAAACCTTAGAAAGTGAAACCACAGATAAGGGGGGGACTACTGTACAGAATTTCAGAAGGACACAAATATGTAGTTATATTAATGTTTTATTGGTTATAAGATATAATAGTATGTTCATAAAATTGACATTTATTTAAATAGAGCTATTTGTTTTAGAACATACTATTTTTTCCTCTGAGTTGGCCTTTGTGCTCTGATGCTTGCACCCCACTTTTTAGTAGAACATAGATCACAAGATTAGCAGAGTTCTGACTTTGGTAAAAAAGGGTTTTCAAATTCCTGCCTTCTGAGGCCCCCACTTCCATTAATACGAATTTGAAGAATTCTAGTTCTGTCCTAGCTGCTGGAGAAGATTTAGGTTCCTGCAGTTATTCCTGAGGAGCTCCAAGTGCTAGCAGTAGATTCCCCTTTCTTTTGCTTTCTGAAGTTTGTTACCCCCAACAAGTTTGAGTCAACCATAGTCTCAATATCTTAAATGGAACATTCCAGAAGTAAACAGTTCATAAGTTTTAAATTGGATGCTGTTCTGAGTAGCAGGATGAAATCTCACATTGTCCCCCCAGGTTCATAGATGACCCCTTGTCCTAACTCCCCCCGCGTTGTTACTTGCCATCCCAGTTATCAGATCAACCCTTTTGGGATTTCAGTGCTTGTGTTCAGGTAACCCTTATTTTACTTAAAGTGCAAGAGTAATGATGCTGACAATTCAAATATCAAAGAGAAGCCATGAAGTACTTCCTTAAAGTGAAAAGGTGAAAGCTCACAACTTAATGGGGGGGGGGAGGCAAACAGAAAACATAAGCTGAGGTTGCTAAGATCTACAGTAGAACAAATCTATCCATGAAATTATGAAGAGGGAAAAAGAAATTTGTGCGTAGTGTAGGTTAGGTACTGGGTTAGATTATTGTCCCGGGTTTCAGTCATCCACCAAGGGTCTTAGAACATATCCCCTTGGATGTGGGGGGACTACCATATCTATTATCCCTGTGGTCACCTGTCACCTCTAACTCAAGACCATGGTTTCCACTCAGTACCTTTTATCACCTCTGAACTTCTTAGCACTGTTTCCTTAAGTTAATGTTTGCTCTAAGCCAGAGGTGGACTGTACCCTCACTTTATCCTCTAAAGTTAACACTGTGCTGAGGCTAGTTTATAGTCATCATTATTCTTTTATAAAAGTGTGTTAATTTTCTCATTACAATGCAAAATAATAGACTCTTAAAATGTATAACAGACTTATAGCCTCTCCACTTTTCAGACTCCCTTCTCCTCTCCCACCCTTGCCAAGATCCTATAATACTATGGTATCTGTAGGTTTCCCATAATAGAGACACAGACTGGAAGATATTTGTAAGCTCATGACAAACTCTCTTAGCCAGACTGGGCTTTTGGTTTTATCTTTAAAGGACCTTTTCATTATGCATATGAATTCTGCCTCCTACCTGTAAAGCAAAAATAACTAGTTTTAAAAATAGTAAACATACTCTACACCCACCCACACTTTTCTTATTTGGTAATTTTTCTTCCAGTTCACAGACTTTGTTTCTTTGTTTTATTTAGAACACGGCCAAGGAACAGCTTCCCGGCACGGATTTATTCTGATTTGGGCAACTTTTCTGGTTTTCGTGGCTTTTCTGGTTTTGGCGATTGTTCTGATTTTGTAAGTTTCTATGGTAAAATGTCACCTGATCTGTCCTAACAATTCCAGCACAGGTAATATCTCATGAATAATTTGGGTTCTACCCCTGAGCATTCCACATCATGTATAAAGATATCATGGAAATACCTGCTGCTACTGGGCATGTAAATGGATCTGAATTTTCTAGAGTCATTCACAAAATTTATCAAATGCTTTAAAATGCTTCTATGTTTCCATCTAACCATTCTACCTCTAGGAATTAGATCTTGAGTTAAATAATCAGGCACACCAACATATATACAAGCACATTCATTGTAGCACACTGCCATTACTTCCAGTTTTCCTACTATTTTCAATAAATAGGTGAACTAGTTAATTGAAAATCATGTGGTTTTCATTACAAAAAAAATCTTTAATCTGGCATTAAAATGGTAAACAGGGTGATTTATTCACCCTGCATAGAAAAAAGCCAAAGGTAAAAGAATAATAGCAAGTTGCATGGAACTGGAGACCATTATCCTAAGTGAAGTAACCCGGGAACAGAAAACCAAATACCACCTGTTCTCACTTACAAGTGGGAGCTGAGCTATGGCTATGTCTGGTCATACAGAGTAGTAAATGGACACTGGAGACTCAGAAGGGGGTGAGGGGTAGAAAATGACCTCTTGGGTATCAAGTACTCTATTTGGGTAATATTCACTAAAAGTCCAGACTTCACCACTATACAATTCATCCATGTAACAAAACTCCACTTGTACCCCCTAAATCTATTGAAATAAAACATATTTTAAAGAAGCTAAAGCTTTAAAGAGTTGCTTTTGGTGTAATGAGATCATAGAAATTCTCCTTTTTCTCCACACCTCAGAAGGAAGTCCTGATACTTAAGTCCCTGAGCTTCCTGCTCACTACTTCCATTCCTGAGCTCTGTTCTCTTTTGCTCTTAGCTTAGTCTATGGTTGGTGCTGATCAAAACTGCCTTGTTTTTATGGATCATTTTACTCTTCATTAATTTTTTTTTCTAAACTAAATTTTATACAACAAACCTGTACTATTTACAGTAATTTAAAATATCCTAAGATGTCATGGAACTTCTTGTTTTTATTAACAGAATTTGAGCTGGAAGGAATCTGGGCAAAAATTAGATGTAGTTTTTCTCTGCATTTTACAGATCAGGAAACAGGAATCCTGGAAGTGAGCTCAAGTGCCAAGTGGGCACGTGACACAGATTTGTGTGCACCACCTAGAGTTGCGTAGCTAACCTAGTGGCAGAAGCGGGCCTAGGCCCCCAGCAGTTGTCCCTTATTTCATCATCCCTCTGAGAAGGCTCTCACTTTCCTGGCAAGTTGAGATAGATCCTATGTCCTTCTCACATGTTCTTCTGGTTGATATTAGCCTATTGCCCATGCTAAAGTTAGGGGATTTTGGTTATAGCAGAAACCATTATTGAAAATAAAGTTTTAAGGGTGACAGCAAACAAGAGTTTCACCACTTCTAACCAGTGATCATTTGTAGTAATAGGCAGGCTAGTTCCTGTCCCTTAGCTGGCCAGAAGTATGAGGTCACAGGCAGATTAATTTGTCCCCCAAAGTTAACCCCTGACTGAATATAATGGGACTTGTGGTTGGATTAGCTTCAAATTATGGGAAACAGGGTGCCACCTATGCTGCTCAAGAATGACAGTTTAGTTTCTACACTGGAAGTCTGCATAAGTCAGCTCCCAACAGAAAACACATGGCACACGAAAGTATACAAAAGGAACTCAGAAGATAGTGGATTCTCCCAGAGCAAGGAGCATCTGATTCACCACCAAACCTAAACTTGAAGGGACAAGGACAGGGAGCACTTCCTAAAATTTGGAAGTTGCCTTGTAAGGAGAGTGATCTTCAATGGAAGGACACACCCAGATTAAGGCGAGGAAATGAATGCCTGACTTCACTCTTCCTTCTCTAACCCAACTGATCTAACTGATCTCTAACCCAACTAGAAACCAGAGGAAACTGACATTCTGCTGATGGAGTCCAACCAGCTGAGCCTCCCAGAGCAGAGAGAAAAGTGGCTTCTGGTTCTGGTGGAACAGTCAGAAGATATTGGCAAAACTATGTCAGAGTATTGGACACTTAAAAAAAAAATATTCCATAGTTCTGCAGTTGGATGGGCTGACAATATAAGCCACAAGACCTTGCCCACCTCCAGCTCCCTGGCTGTAGTTTCATTCGACTGTGGTTCATACATTTTTAAATTCCCTTTTCTATTACTGTTTTAAAATGACCTTGATCTAGGATATGTATAAAAGGGCCAGATTTTAGGAAAGCCCAGAAGGAGGCCTTCCTTGAGGAATGACACTGTACCCCATTCTTCTCTAACCATCACTCCCAGCCCCTGTTTGGCCGTGACTTTTCCATTATTAGCAGTTGGGAGGAACCAGGCCAACAATCCTAAGAGCCAGGAACTGCTGGGTTGATTGAACTGCCTCTGGTCCCTCTGGGGCACCTGCATCAACCATACACATTTACTGCTGTTTCTGATGATGTGTTTCTACACTGAATACATTTTTAAGGCTGTAAGACATGAAAGGGGGAGTAATGAAGGGGATTCTAATGCCATAATTATATTGAGATAGGAATAAGGGAGAATTTCAGTGTTAATTTTAATTTAATTTTTTAAAATTCTTTTTTCCTGTAGGAACCCCTTGGATGAGAGTGGTTGCAACGCTGACAATGCAGAAGAAAATATAGTAAGGCATCATTTCCTTTACCAAACCATTTTTAGTATAAAGATGCTACTATAAAAAGGTAATTGAAGTTCTGACTGATTCACATATCATCACGTAAGACTCTTACAGAGGAAAAACAGCAGGAGGGATTGCTGGATAATATAGCAAGAAAAAAATACAATTAGGCTTTTCCCAATGTCTGTAATTAAACAGGCTCTACATGCTTAAATAAATGGTTACTCTTCTCATCTCCTATCATTATTTGTAGAAAAGATCTCAAACAGCCTTGAGCATATGAAGGTGAGAAAACGCGCTTATTCTTCTGATAGGAGCATGGAACGTGAGATTATACAGCAATGGACAGAAACACAAATACAGATGTAACGGAGAAAAGCAGTCTATGGTTTCTGCCCAAACTCAAATAGCTGAACTTCCATACTTTTCCTGCCACTTCTAGGTTCTTTGGGGTGTGATAATTCCCTTATAGATTAATTTGAATATGTGCTTCCTTTTTGCTACCTACCTTTTATTTGTGTGTTCCATTAATCATAATCTAAATAAGGGACAGGAGTAGGGTAAATTCTTTTCCACTGTTAAAAACCGAGGAACATCTAGCAGGGAGATTGAAATTAACTGATTAGACTCAGCTGAGTCATGGATCTGTAATTACAAATGCAAGCAATAGCCTAAAGCTCCTCAATTCACCACCATACTCCCTACCCCCAAAAAACCACTACCATCAAACAGACATTTAAAGTTCATTTTTCTTGGTTCTAGCCTCTTTCAGAAGAACCAGCCGGTACATGAAATGAAGACAAGACTGTGACAACACATGACAAGCATCCTTAATATCCAGTGACTTCATCTCCCCTTTCTTCACTGCAATCCCAGGCAGAGGCTTGTCAGACCAGACAATTTTACTACTGCAAAGACTTATAACCACTCTCTTTTATGGGATCACATTACTCTTCAAGACATACACATCATTCGCTGATCTCCTACCTACATTAAGAGTGTAAAATGCCTGGATGTTAAGGATTCCAATTCAACTTAGAAGAGAACTGTCTCATTCATTTACATTCCTGCTGCAGTCAGCCCAGGAGGTTATGGTGAGGCTTCCACTGAGAACTCAGAAGAAATGTTTAGCACTAAGAGCTGATTCAAAATGTGATCAACTGATACTGGGTGAGAGAACAGGTAGTCACCTGAGTGAAAGGGTTCAAAACCAAGACCTAGAAACCAAGGCAATTAATGTAACGAGATATTCTATTCTAGTCTTACATTAATGGTTACATCAGGGTGAGCAACTAGATTTAGGATGGTGAGTCTTAGGGGATCCTGAAGAGTAAGAATGTGGGTATCTCTAAGACCACTTAGGGAAAAGGGCCGAAATCAACACAAGAATTGATATTGGGTTCTGCCTGCTAGCCTCAAGTTGGGTTATGCCTGCTAACACCAGGCTTACGTAGTTCAGTGATTCTAGTCAGGAAGATAGTTTAATGAACTCTTCTGGTTCATATTGCTAATCAGCCTTGCCATAGATTTAGATTTCCATGTAAATTTTTATGCAGGGAGAGAAGGGAGAGCCCAGAAGACTTGATGATCTGTTCCCCTTAATTTTAATCATCAGTTTATATGAAAGAGATAATCTAATGTTAATGCTTGTGAATTTGTCACTATAATCAGGCATTTTGTGACTTGGTTGATCAAGGTTTTGATCCTATAGTTTATTGAAGAAAACAAACTCTGAATTGTGGGGTTGGTACCATCTTGTCTGATTTTTCTCTCATGTATGTACAGGGTGTCCTAAAAGTCTCCACACACAGGACAAATTTGGTAATATTTTTTATATAAAGGTACATTTAGCTACAATTTCCCATTTTCTCTATGTATGACTTTTGGGATACCCTATAGGTTTCTTAATGCTAAGTTTTTGCTGCAATGTTGTGACAGGTACTCAAATTAAAACTGGATGTGTGTTCCCAAGCTAAAGTTTGCTGAACTGATTTTACTGAGAGGGTGGAGAAACAACAACATTCCAGTTTCAGGACTGGCAGTGTGACAACAGCAAATTTCTATGAATATGTTTGGAATATGGAGATGTTTCCTGGATGTAAATATTGCCTTATTAAAGGGTAATTTCTAATTTATTTTTACGAAAGCTTTTTTAAAATTACTATTCCAGAAAAAAAACCTTAAAAGTCACATGTTTAGCATTTTCTCACTGGTTTGAGATCGAGAGCCCATTGCTTTGGATACAACATGACAGACACCCCTAGTAGTTCACTCTGTAGCTGTGCCATCCACTGCATCCCCATCACAAAACTCAACTTTGGTTCACCTTGCTCAGAGTGGGCCTAATATGGGGGAGGATCAGCCTTAATCTCTCTGAGCCAAACTAGGCAACTATAGCCTCCTTGCTACTAGTCTGGCCTAGGCAGGTTTGTGAAGAAATCTGATCAATAGGATAGAAAGAAAAGTATCCCAGAGAGCTAATTCTGGGAAGGTGTTTCTAACACCACTGAAGATGTCAGACAAGAAAGAACCTGGGTTTTTTGATATGCTGAGCCCTTGAATTAATCTATGAGTTGGGGTTGGATCAGAGAGGCAGACCACTGAGAATGACAGAGAGTAAGGATTTATTATAGAGATTCAACCTTACACAATTGCTGGTGGAGAAGTCCATGCCAGGCTGCTCCCTCCATATCTGGTACTTGGCCTGAAGTCGCTGTAGATGGGCGCTGCCATTAGTCAGGAAGGAGAGTCTGTTAGAACAAACAGCCCATGTCTGTGTCTTGCAGCCTCCATGGCAATGCCATGGGTGACATGCAGAAGGAACTTGTGTCTGTTGCCATGGAGCTGCGCACGTACCTGGCCTCTGCAAAGCTGGAGGAAGAGACTGGGAGGAACTGGAAGAACTATGAGTCCAGGGAACTGTCATTGACCTTTTTTGTCTGGGGGCAAATTTCTTGAGCTGTCCGAAGGTTTTGCCTACAAGTGCAAAGTGGTAAGAGAAAATTTTACCAGCTTTTACCACTACTGGATGAAGACATAGATTCATGGATGTGGGGATGAGTCAAAGTTCACTCGAGTAACAACCATTTCCCAACATGCCCTAGTCCCCATGGAGCATGATTGGTCTAAGGATGTCTTCTATGAGTCCTACCCATTAAGAGGCAATACTGACAACAAATCAAGTATTAATTCTTTTCTTAACATCAGGATTTAAAAGATTCTTGCCTCTATTTAATCTGCCAGGTGAAATGTTAGAAGGTAGTTTACTTGCATTTGAGGATCAAAAAATCCCCATTAACCTTGGAAGCAATGATAGTCCCTTTAATTATTACATTTTTCTAATCCCTTATGTTTATATGGTGCAAAAAGCAATTTAAATAGTGTGTCTCAAATGCAACCTAAGTTTTTTGTTATGGACCAGTACTTTCCTTATACTTCTTCAGCTGTTGTCCTTTAAAAGCAGGGACTGCTTATTCTTCTTGAACCTAAAAAACAGAATGTCAGTGTATCCTGTGAAATTCCTGCAAGGTTCACCAGAGGAACACATGCCCAGAATCAAGCTGAGGCCTTTCCAGAGGTGAGCCAGCCTTAGCCAACTCTTCATTAACTTCAAAGGGAGGCAGGGAATTGAGGCAATTATCTGCATTATAGAAAGCAGACACCAGTAATTCACCCCAAGGGCATGCTTGGTCACTCTCAATTTTCTGCCTGCCTTTCCTTGCCAGTGAAGGCAACGCCCTCCTCAGCCGACCCCATGAGGGAAAAGATTCTGCAGCCACATCACCAGTTTGCTCCACATCCTGGACACAGAATTCTATGAGAAAACATTTTTCTTGCACTTATGACAGTTAAAGGATTTTCAGGCTTTTTCTTTTCTGTGAATAGGAAACAATTAGTCACTGCACTGCCAAGGAAGGTTTTCCTATTCCTCTCAAAAGCAATTTCTGCTTCACTGGCTGTCGTCTTTGTTGGAAATAACTGTGACAAAGTCGAATGCATGGCATCTGTTTGGGAGGCCCTTGACCTCCTGCAGCTGAGAGCAATTGCAGCACATGGGCAGCACCTCCCTAAACAAATCATCATATGGGTTGCTGGCAGGCTCTGCACGGAAGACCCTAAATCCAGCGCCGTAACACTGCTCCAATTGAGGCCAGAGGTCAAACCATTTAACTGGACCTCTCCATAGGGGACTTATCCTTGAGACAGCTATTCAGTCGTCAGTAAGAAACTTCTGGAGTCTGCTGATGATTCATGCTTCTCATATCGAACATTTTTAGATCTAAATATGACCAACTTTTAGTCTCTCCTTCAAAAGAATTCTTTTTCACCTCCCTTATTTTACACGTATTACTGGCAATGCCACCAACTTGCAGGGTTACTAGTAATTCATTTATAATAAGAAAGAGGGACAGGCATGGACCAAGTTTTTAAAAATGAAATGATGGCGCCTTTCTGTGCGAGGTACTATGTTCAGTGCTAATATCACATTATGTAATCCCCTTTAACTCCTTTCTGCTAAAGCCAGACCTCATTAAAAAACTGTTCCTGGGAAAATATCAATAAGGAAGCTGAGGCTACCCTGACCCTGCCAAACATTCAGTTCAGTGTTCTTTGTCACTCTGTCAGTTTACTAGTAAAATTAGGGCAGTGGCCTCTACCATTGGATTAGAATGGCGGTTTCACAGGCCACCGACATAGAAAGATCTTTTCTCTGTGTTTTAGGACAAAATCAGAAATATAAAACAGGATTCTTGTGTTTGTTTTCCTTCACTGCCCCTGTTTTAAATCTTTCCTTTTGGTCTCCTTATTAACACAGTACAAAGTCACATACGTGTCTACCATGGAAAAAGTTCACTAAGAATTTCAAGCAGATCCACCTGTGCTTTTTAAAATCATCTTTGCTCTATGGACTCGATTATTTTACACAAATGAGTCAAGGTCCCAGAGCCTGCTAGTTAGCATGGAATTAAGCATTTGAGAAGTATAAACAATGTATATCCCACTCAAACACTTAATATTTCATTCTATCTGGAAAAATATAGTAAATATGGGAAGATTTTATTGGAACTTTTTGTCATTTTTTAAAAGCTTTTAAAGAGAAAAATGTCTTGTTATATTGGTCTATGCAATGACATGAGCCCTAAACAAACATGATTTAAGAGAACAGAATTAAATATATGCCATACCTTTTTCCCAAACTCTTTTGCTTTAATCTTGAGTTTATTGACTTGAGATTCTGCTACCTCTGCCCTTTCCTTCACTTTGTTCAACTCATGTTACTGCTGCTTATACTTGGAAAGATATTGATTGGCTTGTGCTTCCTATAAAAAAAAAAAACTCTGTGCCTATGTAGTCAATTTTTTCTGCTTTGAGAGGAGAAAGTTGAAAAATGTGAAAGGAATCTAAAGTTCTGAGTATTGAATGGAATATCATATTTTGATATGATATATAGGGATTCAGATTTTCTAGCAGACACAAGATCCATTTTTATAACTTTTGTTCCCTGGAAATTCAGAACCTAGTCAACACTTTTCATCAACTGCATGTAGTATAGCATTCACTGACTTGGATATGATAAAATTACCACAGTTGTTTGCTTTGTAGCCAGTTTAACATCCTATTCTACCTCTTGGTAGAAGAGACTTGTCTTTCAAGTTATATGGGTCAACAGGTAATTATCAGATATAGCAGTGTTTTAGCCTAAATCATTTAAATAATCATTTTGAAAGCCCTCAAGAGATATTATTAGGGATAAACCAATATATATTATGGCACTTAATTACATTCCATGTAGCTATAGATATAAACATAGGGAAGGCAAGTACATTTCAAGTGATGTGGTTTTGTCCACAACCATGTCCAGGATCATCAAGAAAAGATACTGTGAACTGTGTTTATGTTCAACTGAGGTTTGGGGGTGAGGGAGGCCCCAGAGTAACTACTCTGCCAAAAATGTGCCATCCCTACATAACACCCTGTTCTTACTTGGCTAGTTTCATGGAGTGCACATGTTTGGGTGTCACCATGAGGTCAAAGGAGAGAGTGCCCTGGCTTCCTAGAGGGAAAAGCAGCACACATTCTTACCATGGGCGATAACCGTAACTTGAGAAAAACCAGAGAATGATCAGACTCTAAGCCAAGCAGGTCCTGTCTAACAACCTGCTCACCTAGTACAGGACCACATATCTCCGTTAATCAAAACTAATGCTGGGAAATCCATGAGGCTGCAACTGCCCCAGGCACTTACTGCAGCCTCGACTTGCTGCTTGTAGCTTTGCACTTTCAGCTGAAGTTTTCCATCAGAGTCTGCATCCTGCTCAGGTTCTTCTTGTCTTCCTCAGCCTGAAATGCATAGGTATATGTGTGAAGAGGGTTGGAGGATCCAGCAGTCTCCGCCGGGGGTAGCTTCATGTGAGGAAATAAAGATTAGAAAACTTTGTTAAACATCATCCAAAAGTTGTGATTTGCAAAATGGTTTAATTCTGCTTGTCCCAAGAAATTAATAAACAGAACTCTAAGGACTAGGAGAGTCATTTCTCCTGATCCACCACAGCCCCCCACCGGCCTTTGCTGAAATGGAAGTTAAAGCCCTTAGGTTTGGTTTGGTCTTCAGCTTTTCTATGCCAATCAAGCCATGCCTGCCTGGGGTTTTTCAGTAGGAATGAAGTAGATTATTATAAAAGCCGCATATGTAAAACTGAAGACCAATCACCTGACAATCAAAACAACTTTTCTCTTGAACTTTCTAACTGACTTTTCGCTCTGGGTACTGGAACTATAGGAAAGGCCAGTTTTCTGCAATTCTGGTGTGGGCATCCTCAGACATAGCTGTGGGGACTGCAGTGCATCCATGCCCATAGCTTCAGTCACAATCAGGCTCAGGATGGAGAAGGGAAATCTCGGGGGACAATGTGTCTCAGCAGTGCTCTGTGGAGCTTTGATATCCTGAGGAAGGAAGGAAGAGGGGAGCAGATAGTAGGGCTCCGCATTCCCCATATTCCCTTGACTGGAGCATATCCACTTTGGAGCTGTTGAACTTCCCAAAGGAAGACTATATCTCCATCTGTTGAGGGTTGAGAAACTGATTTGATCAAGAAAAACCTACCCCTGCTGCATAAACTTTTTTACTTGTTCCATTTTACCTATTCCATCAAGTGTCACCTCCTTGGGCAGCATCCATGGTCCCTCCCACCCCCGCCACTTAGCTTTCATTGCCCCTCACAAACCTTCCACTCCAACCAGGCTTGCAGTCCCCTCTGTCCCCACAGCTCCCCGCCTTACTCCATCCTCCCTAGCTCTGGCCAAGCTGTTGCCATCCCCTGGAATGCCCCACCCCCACTCTAAAATACAATCTGACAGATCATTAATTACCACATTCAAAGAATGAATGCATAGGAAACCACCTGGCTGGGGAACTGACACAAGTCTATGTTTTAAATAGAATCCCTTTTCTGCTCTCACCTGCCTATTCCTCTACCTCTCGGGTTTATGAAATTTGAAAATTCACAGCATTATGTGTTTAAATTCTAAAATCTACACAGGTTTTGCTGCAGATAAGCAACTTGTTGAGGGGAGGGCAGTGGTAAAGGAGGCCACACAGAAGAAAACTGAGAAAAGCTAGAAGTGGTTGCCAACATTAACAATGTTCTTCCCACTTGGGGAGGCAAAACTGTTGATGTTAAGCCTAGGTCCACATCTCAGCTCTGAGGCTTTAAGTAACTGTGGGGCCTATGGTTGTGCATCACAGATTTCCCTTTAAGAAAAGAACTTGCCATTTAGCTGTGAGAAGGGAAGTTCCCTGACAACCTCCAACAGCAGTGCCTTTGGGTCCTGCTATCGCATTGGTCCTCAGGCCACACACTTCCAAGGCAGCCCCCAGCCACTAACCGGGCACAGCGGAGTAACGAGTGTCTCACCATGTCTTCCCAACAGTGGACTCCTTTTTGGGCAATCTTTTTGGTAACTTGCTCAGAGCTGCATTGCAGTCTGAGGCTTTTTCCATCCAATCCTGCTTTCTCAGGCTTTCCTTTTGCATCTCTGCCTGATCCTGTTTTGCTCTCACCTTCAATATTCACAGGTGTTACCACCAGTAAATCTCCTGTACTTCTAATTCCACCCTGGCATCTGGTTTCTGGAAAACCCACCCAGCACAACAACTTAACCAAATTTTGTTTCTTTATCTCTAAAAATGAAGATATTATATTCTTGACTAGATTTGAAATAATTAAATAATATCTACACCCAGATTCCAGAATATAAGAGGCAGTTTAAGATAAAACAGAGCAGGTAGGAGGATAATACAGAGAAAGATGGCAGAATAGAAAACTCCAGTGATCGTCCCTCCCTGCAAACACCTACTTCAACAACTATCCACACAAGCAAGCACCTTCAGAAGAACCAAAAATCAACTCACCAAGGTTTTGCCACTAGGAGTCTGCAAAAGTAATAGCATGACTGGGCTTGGGACACCCCCAATGCTGATATGACTGTAATGACCAGATACTTAGACCATAACACTCAATTCCCTTTGAGTATCCGGAAAGTCTTCTTAAGAAGGACGGACTCAACAAGCCCAGACTGTGAAAATTAAAATACTTACCTAACTCCTCAGTGCTCACACATGGACAAATATCCACAAGCATCAAGAACATCCAGGAAGACATGACCTCACCAAACAAACTAAATAAGGTATTAGTGACCAATCCCAAAGTGATGGATATATGTGACCTTTCAGACAAAGAATTCAAAATAGCTGTCCTGAAGATCAACAAACTTCAAGACAACACAAAGAAGGAATTCAGAAGCTTATCAGATAAATTTAACAAAGAGACTGAAATAATTTTTTTTAAAAAAGCAAAAATTCTAGAGCTTAAGAATTGATTGACAAACTGAGAAATGCATCAGAGTCTCTCAACAACAGAACTGACCAATCACAAGAGAGAATTAGTGAGCTTGAAGACAGGCTATTTGAAAATATACGGTCAGAAGAGAAAAAAGAGAAAAGAATAAATAAGAATGAGGCATGCGTACAAGATCTATTATAGAAAACAGTCTCAAAAGAGCAAATCTAAGAGTTACTGGCCTTAAAAAAGGAGGAAGAGAGAGATTGGGGTAGAACGTTTATTTAAATAAATAATAACAGAGAATTTTCTAAGCCTACAGAAAGATATCAATATTTAGGTACAAGAAGGTCATAGAACACCAAGCAGATTTAACCCTAAACAAGGCTTCCTCAAGGCATTTAATAAGCTCCCAAAGGACATAGATTTTTTTTAAAAAAAGGTCCTAAGCAATATAAAAGAAAAAATACAACACATAAAAGAGCTCTGATACATTTGGCAGCAGACTTCTCAGTGGAAACCACACAGGCCAGAGGAAAGTGGCATGATATATTCAAAGTGCTGAAGGGAAAAAACCCAAACCCTAAAATACTATATCCTGTAAAAAGTATCCTTCAAACTTGAAGGAGAAACAAAGACTTTCCCAGATAAACAAAAGCTGAGGCATTTCATCAACACCAGACCTGTCCTACAAGAAATGCTAAAAGGAGTTCTTCAATCTGACAGAAAAGGACATTAATGAACAATAACAAATCTTCTGAAGATATACAACTCACTGTAAGAGTAAGGACACAAATACAGAATACTCTATTGCTATAATTGTGCATGAACCACTTATATCTGGAATAGGAAGAGTAAAATATTAACCTATCAAAAATAACTACAATAATTTTTTTCAAATAACATAGTATAAAAAGATATGGATAGAAACAACAAAAAGTTAAAAAGCTGGGGGATATAGTTACAGGGTAGAATTTCTGTTAGATTTCTCTTTGCTTGTTTATTTGTTTGGTTGTAAGCAGAGTTGTCATGTGTTTAAAATAATTGGTGACAAAATGTTATTTATAAGCCTCATGGTATCCTCAAATAAAAAAAAACCTACAACAGACCCACAAAAACAAAAAGTGAGAAATTAAACCACACTACTAGAGAATACTGCCTTTAACATAGGAAGACAGGAAGGAGGGAAGGGAGGATCACAAAACAAGGGGAAATCAAACGACATGTCAGTAGTAGGTCTTTACCTATCAATAATAACATTGAATGTGAATGGACTAAACTCTCCAATCAAAAGACAGAGTGGCTGAATGGATGAAAAAAAAAGAGCCAACTATATATTGTCTGCAAGAAACACATTTCACCTATAAAGACACATATAGACTGAAAATAAAGAGATGGAAAAAGATATTCCATTGAAATGGAAACCAAAAAAGAGCAGGAATAGCTATACTTCTTTCAGATAAAACAGATTTCATGCAAAAACTGTAAAAAGAGACAAAGAAGGTCATTATATAAATATAAGACCTAAAACTATAAAACTGCTAAAAGACAACATTGGTGAAATGCCTCAGGACACTGGTCTGGGCAAGGACTTTTTGAGTCATACCCCTAAAGCACAGACAACCACAGCAAAATTGGACAAATGGGATCATATCAAGCTGAAAAGCTTCTGCACAGTAAAAAAAATAAATAAAAAAAAAAATAACCAACAATAGACAATCCACAGAATGGGAGAAAATATTTACAAATTACCCATCTAACAAGGGATTAAAAGCTAGAATATATCAGGAACTCTAACAACTTGATAGGAAACAAACAAATAATCAAGTTAAAAATGGGCAAAAGATCTGAATAGACATTTCTCAAAAGAAGACATACAGATAGCCAACAGGTTTATGAAAAAATGCTCAACATCATTAGTCATCAGCAAAATGCCAGTCAAAACTGCAATGGGGCAGAGAGTAGAATGACAGTTACCAGAGGCTGGGAAGGGTAGTGGAGAGAGGAATAAAGTGCAGATGCCTAATGGGTGCAAAAATATACTTAGATGGTTAGATACAATGAACAATATTTGATAGCACAACAAAGTGACTATAACCAACAGTAAGTTAGGGTATACTTTAAAATAAATATAATAAAAGAGTAGAGTTGGAATGTTCCTAACACAAAGAAATGTTAAATGCCTGAGGTGATGGAAACCCCAATTACCCTGGTTTAATTCACATTGTATGTCTGTATCAAAATATCACATGTACCCTATAAAGATATACAACTATTATGTACCCATAATAAATTAAGAAAAAAACACAGAAGGTGGGAGAAGAGTAGGGGACAGAGTAAATATCTTGACATTTTGTAACAATTAAAAGTTCCTAATCTTATGTCTTGCTTTATAGAACATTTTTCTAGGCACTGGAGAAAGAAAATAGGATGAGTTTCCAAATGTTAGAGGAACACAAAGAAGATAAATGCTCAGTGGGGACCAGTCATAGAACTGCTGTGGAGTGAGGTCACACTTGATTCCTTTCCCAGAGAATTTTTTCTAGGAAAATAAAATTATATTTATGTCTTTTTCAAAATGATATTTTCAATTAGCACCTATGAATGGGCTATCACCAAATACCCTGCCTCATAATTCTGATGGTTATTTTGGTGACTGAATTGAGTCAACATTGACCTTGAATATTTCTAAACCAAGTATTTATATCAAGAAATGTGGAAAGCCCTCTAATATGTCTTTAACTTACAGAGTCTAGCCTGACACTTTCCATAAAGTGGGACCTCAATAAATATTATCTGATTTGATGGCAGAAAATCATTGCATAACTGAATAGACCTGCTCTATGCATTATGCAGACACGTAGAAGAAATTAAGAAATGCACCTCCATATTAGTACACAAGAAACACTAGACTATTGCAATGAAGCAAAAATAAGATGTAGTATAAAAAGAATGCATTCCTTGGAACAATGAAAACCAAAAGAGTATAACTTTGGTGTTTTATTCTACAGTGAACATATTTACAGAAAACAATAAGAATAATTGATGGAAAAATAAAAAGAAGAAAACCCCAGGCATATTAACAAGCAGCATTTCAGTCAATCAACACGGGTGGCTTCCCCACCCTTCTTAAAAGAAGAGTAGAATAGCAACCTTTCATTTTCCCAAGGTTTTTACTTACTTAGCCACACATACTCTGGGCTCACTCCTCAGTGACTTTGATATACCCAGCACGATCTAAAGAAGTGTCAGACTAACTCATCTTAGAAAAAGAACCACTTAGTAATAAAAGAGCTGTACAACTAGCTCATTTCATCTTAATTAGCCTAAGATGATGCTTCTGAAGTGCTCTGCTTTCTTATCAGCACTATCCTTCCTGCTGCAAGGAAGGCAGGCTTTGACATCTCTAACAACTCAGCCTCCAGAACCAGAATCAGGGCTGGCAGATCTTGCATTAGTACTGTCAAAGGAGCTGTAAAAACGGGTGCCTAAAATCAGTTTGCATTTTCATTGAAATAAGCTATTGTGTGCAGTGTGAGGGGTCTGGAAAGGGCCTTTTGGCATCTGAGTTCCCCAACTAAAGTATGCGCACCTACTGTGTGCAGGGAGGATGCTACACCCTAGGGGGAGAACCATACAGTGCCCTTGTTATCAGAGAATCGATGTCTACTGCATTAGAAAGAAAAGGGGAGGAAGTGAAAATGTAGATGAAGGATTACACTTTGGAAATGCATTAGTTACTTGTAGGAAGTCTGCCCACCTCTTCAATTATTTGCTTGGGACCAATGTTATTCAACAAGTTAGATCCAGAAAGCCACAGAGAGGCCTCTCTAGTCTATGCGCTTTACACCCGGCACCAACAACAGAATCCTCAGTGGCCTTGAGTGTTTGTGCAACCAGAAAATAGGAGTGGAAATGTTCCCAGCTCCAATTTAGTCAGTGTCCCACAGAACCTGCCGGCTGGATAGCTACGCCACCGAGCCTCTGCCAGTCACTTCATTTGCATGTTGTTCTCGCTCAGCCTCTCACAGGAAGGCATCTTTTTGAAAGTGCTGCAAACACTACCGTGTGAAAAAATATGGCTGGTATAAATAGCTTTTCACTTCTAATTGCAACTTGCCACTCACATTTTGTTTCCTGAGAGCTCTGAAAAAAGACAGACCCAAGCCAATAATAGCACAGGAGCCCTGGGAGGGTGAGTCAGTGTCTACTGCTGAGGAAGAACAAAGATGGAGGGAGAACTGCAGGAGTCCCAGAAGGCCATTTCAAGCTTGAAGGAGCACGTTTCTGCAGGGGAGAGCCCGGCCAGCCACACAGGTAATGGTCTCCTGGTGTACCTGGTAGGTCAGCTCTCTGACGCATCACTCAAGTCTGCCGGCTCCCCTCTGCGTCTCTGCATTGTGACGAATTTCACCCTCCAGTTCACCTTCCAATTCACGAACCTGCAACCAAACCACAACCTCAGACCACACGCTGGCGGCAAGGCTGGCATTATGTTCGCCAATCGGCACGATTGTTTGAAATAGAGTGAAAATTAATAGTGGAGGGAGGATGTGCCCACTTTCTTTCTGGTAGTGATTAAACAGGGCAACCCCTCTGGGGAAACTTCCTAGCTAAAAGCAAGTTAGTTAAACTATGTGAGTTCATAAAAGGACTGTTTAGACTCTGAGGGACTTGAAAGGCTAATTCATGCAGAGGTGATAAGCTTCTCTTCCTAGATTACAAAATCACACCCACACGTGTGTATGGACGAGTGCATGGAAGTAGAGAGTAAGCTATACGTAGCAGACTCTACAGATGCAGCCAACATACTACCTAGATCTTAAGCTTCTTTCTCCACATTCAGCTCTAACTCTCTAAAGAAATCAGATCCTATGTCTGTCACACGTATGTCACACACAGCCCTCTGGCCCTGCTTTGTGGGAAAGCCATAGTACGGATGAACCGCCTGCAGCCTTATAGAGTTACACAACAAGGTTAACATAACATTCGTTCCACAAAGACGCCTACTACACACACAGCCCAGTGCCAGGGATATAGTGGAGAACAAAACAGACAAAAATCTCTTCCCTGTGTAAGCATACATTCTCAGGGGAAGCAGACAGACAAAACAAAGTAAACTACAGAGTATGTTTGATGATGACAAGTGCCATGGAAAAAAATAAGGCAGAAATGGTGGCGGGGAGATGACAGGGGCAGGGTGCTGGCCTGGGGGGGCTCTTGCCCAGATATCCAAGCCTCTTTCCTTGCCTTCTCCTTAACTCCAATGCCACCTTCTCCAGGAGGCCTCCCTGACCCCTTTTGAAAAATAGAGAAGCCCAGCCAGTGCTCTGAGGCCTGAGTCTGCCTGGAAGTCTGCCCCCACCTCCAGTTCCCCTCCTTTCCCCCCACCACTGTGGCCATTTTGCTCTCATGTTCTTCCTCAGAGAGGCGCAGCTGGGAGGGAGGGGGACAGGCATGTGAATTTCTTTGGATGAAGCCCATTAAAACAAGATCCTCTGGACGCCTCTCACACAGGAACTTAACACATAGTTCTATCTGTTGGGATGTAAGAGAACAGAGGCCCCTCTACTTTTTAATGGACTTGTTGAGGTTTTCTGGCTTCTTTTGAAAAAGTGATTAAGGAAAAACTGCTTTACTAAAGCAAATCGGAGATATCATCTAATTTTACCTGTAAATACTACTTTATGTAATTCTAACAGATAACAATGATATTATGAAGTTTTTAAGAAAATTAACTGTAATTCTTTAGTAACTTTGATATTCAGGTGTTCTTTGCTAGTGAGTTATCATCGGTTCTGGGCCGTAACTGTGGACAAATAGCAAGTGGAAATAAAATTCTACACTGTTATATTTGAGTTGGAAAAAGCAGTATTATTCATGTATTTTTTAAAGGGGAAAATGTACAAGCTCTTTGATTTTATATATTCTTTCTCTTATACTGAAAATCATGGTTTGTATGTTGTTGGATAAATAACTATATTGTTCTTATTAGTAGTGACAATAAAATATTTTAAAACTATAAATGCAGTTTGCTTGTTTTGCCATTTTGTTTTTATCCTTATATGTCCCATGAGTGATGTGCAGACAAAACACTATGTTTAAAAACCACTGAGAATAACTCTTCTTTGTGTATGTTTTATGCCCCCAACTTGATATATTATTAGCTTTATTTGCTTCCACTGATGTTAAAATTTGAGTAACTGCTGAGTTTTCTTTGACTTGTTCCTAAATTATGAAGCATGTAAATGATTTACATGACTTTACAGTCAAAACAACTAAGCAAGGTGCATTCAAAAGGTCTAACTTTAACCTGTGTTCTTCTCCTATGGATAATGATTTTTATTGTTTTTCATTTGTCTTGTCACCATTTCATTTTGAAAATTTAAGCAAATATGTACATATCTTCATATTGTCCCCATTTCTTGAATAAAATTGGTATATACTCCCCACATTGCCTTCACTTTTTGTCATCATTATACCACTAGGCGTGATCTCCAGGAGATAGTCTAAAATTCTTCCCCATTCCTTTTTAATCAGCATAACTATATGGATGTATCAGAAATGTACATTGGTATTCCATTGTATGAATGTACCATAAAGTGCAGAGGTGATATCTTACTTTTCAGGGGCCCTTTTGATCAGATTCCAGTTGAATATTCTCTCCATTCTTGTAGAATTTATCAAATGCCCTGGTGCATAGTCTTTGAAATTGATTCAACAATTTGAAAAATCTTACTTTCAAGATGGGTTACTGTTTGTTCTTAAGCTCCCTGAAGGCAGGTACTACATCATTTCTGTCAGCCCTTACTATATCTTCACTGAGTCCCTCTTGATCATTGATTTAGTTGTTTTCCTCTCCTTTCTCCGGCTGTCAAAAAGTGAGCATTCTCTGCCAAAGAAATAACAAGAGTAAGGCACAGAAGCAAGACTACAAAGGTGTGTTTGGAAACAGCAGGTAGCCCTGGCATGCAGAGCCTAGAGCTGGTGCAGTGAGTGGGAAGAGAACCATTTCCACTTAGCAGTAAGAGGGAAGGTTGATTTCACAGTCCAAAGAAAGTCCTCTTGGGTGGCGCAAAGCCAGGCAAGAACATATGCATATATTGAGACCTGGCACTCCTAAAGAACTGAAAGTATTAAAAACGAAAGTGATGAAGGATGTGGGGAACATCTGGAGTGACATTCCAGGACAACGAGGCCTTGAACAGCCCTCATGATTACCCAGGCAAACTCCTACACTGGATTCTAGTTTCTGGATTTGCTTTCTACTCCCCATCAGGGCGGTGTGCTCTGCTTCTTCCAGCCTTTTTTGCAAGTCTTTAATTGTCTGCTCCCTATTCTTTTCTATCCTCTCCAAGTGGGCATTGGTGTCTTGCTGCTTCTTCAGTTCTTCTGACAAGTTTGCTGCCTAGAAAAAAAGGAAAGGGATTGATACCCATGATCTTCAGTTCCTGGTCTGACTGGATGCCATGCCTGGACTCTGTATATTTAATTTCTTTGCACTGTCACCTCCCTAGACTCTATCACCCTCGAGATTGTTAACAATAAGGCAATAGAGATAGCAGCAGGTACAGAAGAGACTGGAGTGAGGAGTGGTGGAAGCAGACCGAAGATGGAGCACTGTATGAACATTATTACACAACACCTGCAATGAAAGATGACCAACTGTCATCTTTTGGGTTTCCGGCTTTTAATTGAATAAAGCTCCGGGACATGATTTATTATGGAATAAAGTAACCAGTGTCACATGATGCACCAGAAAAGGTGTGGAGGAGTGCCTACAAAAATCATTTTCACATCTCACTTCCATAATTCTGTGATTCACTACGCAAACAAGTTTAGGCTCCAGGAATTTGGCAGTAACAGATGCTCTCACTGCCAATACTCTGGCATGAGGAAGGTTAATTGTGAAGCCTGCTCTTGGCTTTAGCTGTGTGTACAGGGGCTCAGTTTCTCAATGCAATCATTAAGAACTGTTTCGTGAATCTCTAGGTGCACTTAATGTAAGAACATGGCCCTCCCAGCCAAAGCTTTTCTGTCTATCAAGTTACCAACCATCTGCAGAATTTAAGTGTGAGACTTCTGTACAGATGGTGAGGGCAAAGAATGAATTACATTCTTCTATGTAGGGTTGGGACTCAGAGCTAAACTATTGGAGAACTGGAAGGTAGAGGGAAGAGGTGATGAGTTTACTTTTCAACATTGTCAAGACAATCTTATCATGGCAGGATTAAGCAGACAGCATCTTCATAATGTGTGACTGCACAGATTTACCAAGCAGGAGCAGCAGCTCTTTTTATTTCTTTCTACCTATGTGGATTTTCATAATTGTTACACATATTACTTTTCACCTTGGCCAAACATCTTCAAGCTTTCACACACCTTATTTTCATCAGAGGGCAGGAGTATCTGCCTTGACACAAAATGGCTGAGTGATGAGCACACTTCCCCCTTCTTAAAGGGGGGCTGGATTCTATAATCACTTGGTGGCTGAGATTTGGTGTTCAGTTCCCTAAGTGCTAAATCACTTGAGCAACTATAGACACAAGCTCCTCTCCTGAGTTTTAAAATGACTAATGCAAAATCTAATTGAATGTCCTGCCTGCCCAGCTCCCATACTCTTTTTAGCAGGGGGATCAACTTCCCTTCACACAGCAGGGTCAGGGTGACTATAGTGGTTGTGCAATTGATGGGCTGCACAAAAGACCATGATGGGGAAGGAGTGAGCGAAGACTGAACCAAGCCTATACCCCACTCAGCAAGCTCTGGGACATGCAAAGCTGGACCTTCCACACAGAAACCTCCCCCTCCACTGATATTTTTCTCTCCATGGTACATTCTGCTTACCATGCCCTTTGAGAGAAGTGCTGCATCTGCTCACAGGGGATACCTAGAGGGTGGCCTTTTTCTAGTTCCCACAGAGGCACATCAAGGCTGGCAGCCAATGCTGAGCTTAGTGTCATTTAGGAAAAGCATTACCATCAACAACTTTAAATTTGCCAATAAAGAACGTATGAAACCAGCCCTGAAACCCTTCTTTACCATTCTGATTTGCTACTCAAGCAGTAGTATGGGTTGTAAAAATAAGTGAATTAAGCATTCTTTCCAGATCATGGCCATAAAACCATTATAGATCCTAGGAAAATAGCTATTTGTAAAGAAACACAGAAAGAATTGTTTCTAGACACTAGATATATTGATTCACAAATGGAAAGTGGCTTAACTGGAACAAAAGGAGACTCCTGCTTTCATTAGGCTCTGCTTATAAGCAATCCAACTGCTCCTTTTCATCGCCAGGGTAGGTTCAAGGGAGGAACTAATTGGCCTAATTTTTCACGATGAGAGCAAGGAGGCAGAGGGGTCAGCTCATCTCCTCCTGGTCGCATGGGCAGTCGATGGAATACTTTTTGGCTGCAGATTTGCCCTGGCCCTTGGCTACTGGCCCAGTGAACTCTGGAAGATAGGACTGAGTAGGCAGTCAATGGACTCACCTCAGTGGCCGCCTTCTCAGCCTTCTCTCCTGCACTTTGACACCCGTGCACCGCCTCTTCTGCTTCATTCTGCATCTGGGCAACATCAGCCTCCGGGCTCTTCCTCTGGCTGAGGAGGCTTGTGCTCTAAGGAAAAGCAGCATCCAACTGTTAGGCAAGTTGCAACCAGCAACACAAATACAAGCGGTTCTGTTCAGGACATGCGATGAAAGCCAGCTCGGGCCAGGAGCCAGTTTTAGCATAATTAGCCAGATTCACTTACGCAGTTCAACCCCAAGAGGCTTCTGCCATCAAAGACAACTGGAATGGAAGGGACTTCACCCATTAGAGGTTCAGGACTAAAAAGATGGCAACCTGAATCAGAAAGGAGAAAATGGATAACCCATAAGCCCCAAACATGTGTTTGGTTTTCAACTTGTTGAGGACTACATGTTTCTGCCTTTTGCTCTTTGATATGGTAGAAACAAGTGTTCCAGAGCCTAAGTAAGGGTCAACTCAGACATTTGGGGAGCAGATAAAAATCACAGTTTTCAGCATGCAGTTCCAGGAAGAAAAAAAAAAAATCCTCCTTTTTTCTCCCTCCCTCCTTATCTCACTTTGCAGTGAGGAGGTGGGAAAAGTAGTGCAGAATAAGCTCATCCCCTAGCCCTTAGGAGCCCTATTACAATGGAGGATTCTTTGTGTTTTGTGGTTGGTGCTGCCCTAATTCTTTCCTTCCTGAGCGTGACACTAGAGGCCAAAGCTCCTTTTGCTGCTATTTGGTCTGTGTTTGAAGCACAGCTTCTCTGAGGGTGTGAAGCCTTAGCGTACAGAGCATATATGAAAGGCATGGGCTTTCTATTTTTTATTTCTTCTTTCACTTTATCCTTTTCACATTCACTTTCCTCTAGCTAGGGCCTCTCCCAATGGCAGGATGGAGCTTCAGAAATAGAAAGCTATTCCAGCCTCACAGGTTCTACCCCGCTTCCTCTGTGGCGTGCAGCACCTTCATCAAGACTGCCATCCTCTGTCCTTATGGGGAACCGGGCCCTGTGCAGCCCGGCCTTTCCACTGCATGGCCTGGGGGTGGGGGTTGAAATAAGTGTATTTTCCTAGAGTGTTTTTTGGATGCTCATTGTGCGTAATTCTATAGAAATTCTTTGTAAAGGTTGGTACAAGTGCTGATTTGTTTGTATATAGAATCACTTAAAATTTGCTAAGGGAGAGAATGGTTAAAGTCTTTGCAAGCTGAATGACTCTCTAATTGGTTCTTTTTTTAGGAGACAGGAGGTTAGAGGGTATTTTGCAAGAGGGTAATCTAGATTGTCACAGCTCAGGTTTGAAAAAGGGCACATGTGATCAATCCAGGATAAGTTTAGCCTCCTATCTTTGTTCTAAGCTAGAGGTCTAGAAATACAGGAAGTAGCTACCAAGGCACCACAAAAGGCTCATTATGTTTTGATTGATAACATCCTAATAATTTTCAAGGTGCCCCAGCATGGTTTACGTCAGTGAGCAGTTCTTCTGAGCAATATACCACCACCTAGACCAGCGCTGGTCCAAGGCTAGTCCCTGGGCCAGCAGCAGCACCTGAGAACTTGTTCACTTCCTGGGTCCCACTGCAGAGCTTCTGATTCAGTAGGTCTAGGGTGAGATCTGAGAATCAGCACTTTTGCGCTAGTGATTCTTACATGTATACCTAAAGCTTCAGAAACTCTGCCCTAGAGACCATATCTCTACTGCCTAATTTTCCCTTCCCCACCCCAAATCCTTTCTTCTCTATGCCTGCTTTTTGTCTGGTTGATGTCCTCCTCTCTCTCTAGGCTAGTGGTTTTTTCATTATATTGGGACCAACTGGTACATTTTTAGTAATAATATGCGTGGCAAATGATTTGTTATTAATAGCTATTAAGTACTGCAATGGATGATTTACTTTTTTAAAAATTCAATATTCCACTTTATAAGAATCCAACTCATTATATTTAGATAAGCTTTCTTGAGAAAGAAAGTGTTGAAGCCTGCTGGGAATTATGCATAACCTACACTATTTTTCTGTGCCACATGGTACCCAAATGGGATTGTTTCATGCACACGAACATAAAAGTCAAACTGTAGGCACAAATGCACTGCAATGCATTTCAGTAGGAACATTTCTGGTTTATATTAATAATTCCTTTTATCCAGTATTTTTCAGTGGGGACACAATTGACATTCTGAAAAGGGCAATTCTTTTGGAATACCCTGTACCTTGAAGGAGTTTTGGCATTTCTGGATCCTGCCCAGAGGCATTTTTTAGTCATTGTGGCAACCAAAATGACCCCACAGATGTTTCTAATACCCCAGCACACAGCAATTTTGCCCCTAGTTGCTTTAATCCATCCTTCATAACAATCACCAATCACCAGAGTAAACTTTTAACGTGTAATTCTGATAATTTTACTCTCAGACACTCATAATTCTTGAGTGATCTCCATTAGCTGCAAGATAAAACTCAAACTCCATCTGTCTCAGACTCAAGGTCCCTGGTGACTTGGCTCTACCTATATCTTAACATCATTTCGGCTCAGATCCCCTATTTACCCTATTCTCTAGTATGTGAATTTCCTTTAAAATCCCCAATTCCCTCTTCCCTCTATTCCTCTGCCCTTGACTTTGCTCTCTGCCTGGCCAACTTCCTACATGTCTGTCATCACTTAAATGAAGCATGTTATGGACCTACCTAAGTCTAGGATTGTCAGGGAAGGCTTTCTGTAGGGGTGAGCTTGCTCTATCATTATACTCCTGGCAGTGCACTACAATTATTTACTTATGTCTTCACTTTTTTAGGATGATGGAAACATTTTGTATCTATACCACACATACCTGTCCAGGTTCTGGGGGTTGCCTTACAATGCTTATTGCATGACCCATTTACTATAGACATTTTTCCTAGTGACTACAGCTTCTCCTAATTCCATGAGAATGCTGAAGGATCTAAGAATTCTTGCTTTGTGTCACTTACATAACCTTCCATGAGAAGCCAGAGTCCTGACAGCTCATCATATTCGTTAGCAGACACAGAATTGTTAGAGATCTCTTGGCTTCAAGGCAGGAATATTTTTCTTTTTTAATTCTGGGATGCTAGGGGAACACGTGGCTTAGAGAGAGCAAGAGAACCAGGCAAGTGGTCTTGGAACATTAGAGAAGATTCATCCCCCTCTCCCCAGAATCCTGACTGTGAGTGTCCTGACAGCACATCCTTCTACAGAAAGCTTGGTTTTATGTGTTGAATTTTGTTTCCCAGAAAAAAGATATGTTGAAGTCCTGACCCCCAATTTCTCAGAATGTGACATTACTTGGAGATAGAGTCTTATTCTGTTTAAAAAGCAACTAGAAAAAAAGGAAAAGAGGTAATCGGGTGATTAGGGTGTGCCCTAATCCAATATGATTGGTACCTTTATAAAAAGTAGAAATGTGGACAGAGACAGACCCTCACAGAAGGAAGATGCTATGAAGACACACAAGGAGAACTCCATATGAAGGCAGGGATTGGAGTGATGCATCAATCAGCCAGAGATTGCCAGCAAACCACCAGAAGCTAGGAAGATGCAAGGAAAGATTCTCCTACAGCTCTCAGAGATAGCATGGCCATGCTGGCACCTTGACTTCAGACTTAGAGCCTCCAGAACTGTGAGAAAATAAATTTCTGTTGTTTCCAGCCACCCAGTGTGTGGTACCTTGTTACAGCAACCTGAGGGAACTAACTAACTTGGGAACGAATGGAGAGTATGGCCACTGTTCTGCTGCACAGGCTGTCCCCAGGCTTGAGGGACCACACTCAAGACTCAACGTAGCAACCGTGCATGGTCCAAGACTGCCCCAGTGTGGGAACCACTGCCTTCACCCAACAGATCCAGCTAATGGGAAGAGTTCATGGGCCCCACCTGGGTATGTAAAAGAGTGATTCTTTCTGTGGCTTCCAGGAGCTCTTTTGCCAGCCTGCACCCATGCTCCATCTGCTCCTGCGAGGACCTCAGCTTCTCTAGTTCAAACTGAAGAAGAGAGTTGCGCCGCTCAGCCAGAGCCACCTGCTCTTTCAGATCACCATTCAGGTGTGTGCTGTCATCTGGTTGCATCCAAAGCTCCTGGAAGAGAAAATATGGGCCGGGAGCACAGATCCTCCTGAATTCAATGTGGGATGTGCTCCCATGCACACATGCTCTGACCAAAGTCCCACCTATTTGAATGCTAGCATGTTCCTGCCCTCTTAAGGGATTAGATTTGTTTTCCTTGCCTTAATGTCTCAACACAATCCGTTGCTTAGTTTGCTTCCATAAGCAGAAGCATTTTCCACCCTTTCCTACCTCATTTTACAGTTTGAAAATACCTTGATTTGAATCTGAAGCTGACCCAGAGATTTGGTTGCCTCTGACACCCTCCGGTTGGCATAGCTCAGCTGGAGTTCCATCCCATTGAGGTCCCCCTCCATCTTCTTCTGCAGCTGGGTAGCCTCGATTCTGCTCCTAGTTTCAGAATCCAGATCAGACTACAGGGAGTCAATAGCACACTGCTGTTTCCTCCTAATTTTAGAAAGCAATCAAGGGGGAAAAAAATCATACACCCAAATGAAGAAAATTTACCTGCTATATTCAAAACAGTTTAGAAAACAGGAAAAAATTAAAATCTAGGAAAATTTTAAATAATTAATAAAATGAATCTAGAAGGCTTTCATTTTAAAAACAGAGAAGGTGAGAAGTTAGTGAGTATATGTCTACCATAATAGACTAAGGTTTCCAGACCAAGTTCCCCAAAGAATCAGGGTAAGTACCAGAATCTTTTCAAGATTTCTGTGGGGCAGCCTTAGTCTTGTCTGAAACCCCCTAAAGAACAGTCTAGGGCAAACTCCTGAGTTTCCTACAGTGGCTCAGGATGCTTTTCCAGACAGCAATACTATTGACACTACTTTCAATGCTGAAATCTCTCTGAACAAAGCAGCAAAGAGTCACCCAGGTTGGAACAAGTCCTGAGATCTAGCAACACTTCTCTCCTGGCGGGGAGACGCAACTCTCCTAGAATAGTGTGGTTATCTTTCTCTAGAAGTTTGAGAGTACACTCAAGGATCAGCTGAGAAAACCAGTTGTGTAATATTGATTTACTTTAAATACTCCTTTGTGAGAACAAAAACCCTGAGCTGAAAAGGTATTTGCAAAGTGACAGAAGGCAGGACAACAGTTGTGTGTTTAGGAAAGCAATTTAGAACATTGGGGGAACTCGTGGCAATTTTCATTTCCCAACCCTTTTGCAGTTAGTTTGGAACCATGTGACTGAATTCTGGTCAATGGTCTGTGGGCAGTAGTGAAGTGTACCATTCCGAGCCTGGCCCATCCAAATTTTAACTTGTGTGATCCTGCACTCTCTTCCCTGTCTCTAGAAATCTGGTGGCCACATATGGAAGGTCATGAAATCCAAAGAGGGAAGGGACCTGGGCTTTTTGATGACTTTGAAAGAATAAAGACACACTCTTCATCCTACCTCACATCAGACCCTATGCACAGACACAGGTAAAAATGAACTCCTATTGTTTTAAGCCACTGAGATTTAGTGCTTGTTGGGACAGTTTAACTTGTATAACACATGCCCTGTTAAGCTCACTCTATGAAACAGGGCCCTAGGGCTGAACAGATAAGAGAGAACAGAAGAGGGAAGAGCCTTTCTGTTCTTCTTCTTCATAGAGTCCTTCTGCACAAAGAGCAAATGTGTATTCATTTTGGGCCAGAATTAGATTCCACAATGAACCGCCACCAAACCTGCATTCTGAGCTCTAAGACGTATAGGCTGCAGGATGGAGTGGGGTCAGAGCTTGTGAGTGGGTGACAGGTGGAGGTGCCACTTTTCATGACCACCCTTCTCCCCATTGGTGGGGGAGGTCTCAGGAGCACTTATGGAAATGTATGGGAAATGACTTTTTCTGGTTACAGAGCTCAGGGTTAGTGCCTGTCCCCTGCCAACCCCATCTCCTCAGCCCCCACAAGCTGAGGTCGGTGTCTCATGCCTATCCTTAGGCCCTGGGCTTTTGTTCAGCTCCCAGATCAGAATTCCATAGGGGTTTCAGTATGTAAAGTTAAAAGGGAATTTTAGGGACTAAATTACTTCCCCCCACAAAAATAATTCCTATGTTGAGATCCTGACCCCCAGGACTTCAGAATGTGACTGTATTTGGAGATAAGGCCTTTGAATAGGTAATAAGGATTAAATGAGGCCACTAGTGTAGGGTTCTAATCCAATGGGACCAGTGTCCTTATAAGAAAAGGAGGAGACACAGGGACACACGTGCACAGAGGAAAGAACACATGAGAGCACAGCAAGAAAGTGACCATCTGCAAAGCAAGGAGAGAGGCCTCGGGAGAAGCAAACCTGCCAACACCTTGATCTTGGACCTCTACTCTCCAGAACTGTGAGAAAATAAACTCCTGTTGTTTAAGCCACCATCTGTGTATTTTGTTGTGACAGCCCTAGCAAACCAACACAGGAATGCTCACACTCCACGTCACTGAAAGCTGTAGACATTTCTGCCTTACACTGAGAAAACTCACATTCTTCCCACGGCCGACTCTCCTTACACAGGGATGCTAAAGTATACCTAGCCTGGTGTCAAAATCCGCTGCACAGAAATACATTCTACTTAAGCAGATAAACTGAATGTTTCAAACCGCACTTTTCCCACAGTTGTTTATGAAACTTCATGAGTGCCTGCAGATAAGTAAAAAGTGTGGTGGTTTAAGAGGCATGGGCATTTTACCGGCCTAGAGAATGGCTGCTAAACAGTCAACACATTTCATGCAGAGTCTAGAAATTTTTAAAATGAAAACTCCCTCAAGTACATTTTTTAAGAAAAAATGAAGCACTCAGGACCTCAGGCAATAGAGTAAGAAGTTCCTTCTTTTTCCTGGAATGTGAAATGTAAGTTAAAAAAAAAAAACCCAAATGCAAAAGAAAAAAAAATCAGGATAAAAGCTTAAAACCTTGAAAAGCTAATGACTTTAAATTGACAGTTCAATAGGTCATTTTTTCTCTTACAAAATTGCTCATCTATATCAGAAAAATGAGAGATTTTCCTTAATGTTTTCCTTAATCCAAATACATGATTCTGCTTTAAAATGATTAACAAGTTATTTTGCTACCATGTCTAAGTTTGAGACGCTCCTTTTCAAAGACATCTTAAAATAGTTTACTTAGAAATGGGAAGAGATTTGAACAGATTCTTTTATTGTCTGAGACTTACTCAGTCGATAAAAATAAATAAATAAAGTCAGTACATGTAAATGAAGACCATGTGGCAAAGTTTGACATGACTGAGTTCAAAGGAGTGGACTTATGGAAGGAAAAGATGATGGAACATTACTAGACACCTGAGGCTGCAGACCAGGTGGGCAAACTATGAGCTATGGGCCAAATCCCACCATGTCCGTTGGCTTTATTGTCTATGGCTGCTTTCAAGCTAAAACTACAGAGTTGAAGAGTTGCCACAGAGACCATATGGCTCACAAAACAGGAAATATTCACTATCTGACCGTTTACAGAAAAGGTTTACCTAACCCTTCTTTGGCAAGCAAACCAAAACAAAACAAATGCAAAGAGCAAGGAATTTCAGTGCTTTATTTCTAAAAGCACCTCTATGGGTGTATCTAGGGAGAACAGAATACTGGCCAGGCACACTATGACTTTGGACCAGTTAGAGGACCAGTTAGATGCATTTCAGCATCTCCTCAAATAGTTGGGAGAGGAATGTAGTTGGTGGTCTCTGAAGACTCGGCCTACACCTAACCAACACCTAACCAACCTGCTCTCAGCCCAGTCTTGGGCCTTGCAGAAGCCCTTGACTCACACAGCAATGACGGCCACCAGTTGGCCTTCAAGCTGGTCTCCTTTCTTGAGTCTAGGATGGGAAGATCAAAGCCAGCCACCAAAGCTCTTCCTCTCCTATCATCAGCAAATGCACTGTCACCTCCCTAGGATCTCTTGCTATGCCAATATTTGTAGAAATAAAAAATAAAATACCCTATCATCTATAATTGTTTAGGAAGCCCTGGCTGGAATATTAGTAACAGTGTCTAGAGAACATTAAGCACTCAAATACTTGTTGAACAAGTGAAACCACATACCCACCTGCTCATACTTTCACCAACAACAGGGCTCCAGGCCAATCACTCAGGATTCATCCTCAGCAGGATGGGAGAGAGAACTGGGAACAGAATGAGTTATCCAGACTCTACTCTATCAAGGTTTTGCCTGTGGGTTTCTCCCCGTCTGCTTTCTTGGTCCTTTTGACTTAATGGGTCCTGTCTTACTGGGATCCTTCAATTTCTGTGGAGCTACAAGAGGTTTACATGGACATAGGACCTTGAACCTGATCTTGCCCTCAGGTTATATTTTCTTTGCTTTCTAAAGCTTTCCTGGCTTATCCTTGATTGCCTGGGCTCTTATTCTCTGCTCATATTTTTCCCTGGCATTCTTCTATTCAGTCTCTTTAAGATCCCTTGCCAGACCTGAAGTCAAATTAAACCATCAGCTTCAACAACCAAGGCATTTTAATACAATCTGCATTCAGAACAGAAAGGTTCTGGGATGGCATTTGTGATATTTTGTAAGATATGTTCATTTTTCCTCTCTGGATGTATCTATTGTAGTTATTCTGTTTCATTAACTAAGACTTATGACTGGCTCACCCCCCTGCCTCCAGCCCACCCCTTCTTTTCTCAGTCCCCTTCCCAGCTCCTGCCTCGTCTTCAGTTCTTTCTCCTCCCAGCCCTCGCTGTTCCCATCTCCAACTTCCTTTGCTCTAAGATTATTATAATTGGCGAACTGCTCTACAAATTCAGATGTACCTGACAAGACGCAGACTCCCTCTCTGAGGATTCATTTTTTCCTCAGCTGGGTTTATTTATAGGCACAGGTTTGACATTACTTGAAATCAGTTTTGTTTTGTTTTGTTTTTTGACTGCACAGGAGACATTCATTTTTGTTCCTTGTGGAAGGAAGTAGGGCAAATATCAAGGCCCGATGTTTTTGCCCTTCATCAAAAAAATTCTTTTAGACACTGACTCACAGCCTCTTAAGTAGAGCAGAATTCTTCACCACAGTCAGTCCTATAGAGGAAAAGGCCAGCGAGCGAGAGCAGAGATAACTCAAAGCACAAAGAGAGCCAAATTTGGCTTGACATCCTCATTAAAAAATTGACCCCCGTGCAAGTTTCGTCTGAAAATGGCTATGGGAAAGAGGTCAGTTGGATTGAACGTGTTAACGGGTCTGTTTAATTGTTTAATAAACACATTGAAAGTAAGTTGTCAGCTGAACTTCAGACACAAATGAGTTTCCTTGCTGACATATAGCATTGACTTCAGGAAACAGATCAGATAGCTAATAGCACCATCGCTAATTCCATGTGTTTATAATTGTGCCTTTGATCTACAGCATGTGAAGTGCTTTGCCAACATCAGCTCACTGATCTTCCTCACCACCTTCTGTGACATGGAGGGGCCGCTTTTATCCCTTCACTTCACTGAGAGGCTAAGAAGTGGAATGTCGAAAGTCATCAGCTTGTTATGAAAAAGCTAAGAAAAAAAATCCTACAACCCATGAGCCTTGTCTAATTCAGTTTCCTGGCTATTAAGTCTCGGCTGCTTCAACGGGGATTCAATAAGCAGCTTAGCTCCTGGCTTCTGCCCCTCTTCAAACAAATGGCTACAGGTACAGGCAGGGCTGTGTGAAAATTTCACTCTGATCTGACATTAATTTTAATGTACTGCTTCAAAATTTTTTAGTTTTTCCCTCCATGGTTCAGTATTATCAGTTTCTTGAACATCCAAGAAAGAGACTTGTTATAGGGAGACCCAGATAGTCTACACAGACCTGCATATAATCAGTTTTTGGTGTGTTATCTTGAGTCTCAGTGAGAGAAGCTGCTTGAATATAGAAAAATCATACAAACTGGCAGGAATAGAGTATAGGTACTCCCTTATATTAATAGTGGGGAACTTACTAAAAATAATCTAGTGTACACTTAGACTAAGTAACAGAAGCCAGAAAAGCAGCCAAACACAACAAGATCAGATCAGCTGAGCATTTTCAAATATGTAACTGTTGCTCATCAAAATAATCAAATACCTAAAATTCTCTATTTCTTCATCTTTCTCTGAAAGTTTTCTTTCAAGTTCTGCTTTAGCTTCCAAGAGTTCACAATGGAAATGCAGAACCTTGCTTTCATTACATTCCAGGACTCCCTGAAATATATAAACAAAAGGCACTAAATGAATCCCACTTTTGGACAAAAGTTTTTTGGTTTTTGAGGTATTTTTCTCCTCAAAATGTATGTCACTAATGTAGCTGTCTTTAGACTGTCTGGGAGAGATTTAGGTTCAAGTCAGGTCCCTAGAGACTGAAACAGGATGAGACAAATAATTGCTTTCATTTGTCATTTTACTTATAGCTTTGACATTCTTGGGTCTTTCAGCAGTAGCTCAAGAGCTAGAATTCCAAAGTATGTTTTAAAATAGAAAATTCCAATTTTGCCTGTGACTATATTTAAACTCTCAAGTGTATTACTCTTGACTTTTTCTAACATATTCCATCTTTGGGATGAATCAATAAAAGCATTGAAGCTAGAACAAAGAAGGTGACAGTTTCTACCTCGAATCTTTTGTTTATTTCTGGACATGGCAGACGGATAGCGGAAAAGCTGAATGCATTCAGAAAACAAGCAATAGGATAGTTCCCCAGTATTGTTATATGAATAATAAAGAAATTGAGCATATACTTGACACATAACACTCAGTGTGAGTCATCATCACCATAATTAGTACTACTACTCCAAATGGATTGTCTGACAGGTAGGATGATCTCCTACCCCTCTGAGTATTTAAATATAGCCAAGGCAATTATTGCCAGGAATGTTACAAAGGCAATTCCATCTTAAAAGTGTAGGTTTGAGTAAATCTTTAAAGCCTGTCTCAAAGATAAAATATATACAGAAGAAGAATAAACCTGAAAAACACTTGGATGATACTGATAATATAAGGGCACAAGGGGTGATGCAATTTTTGTCAATTAACTACAGACAGACCTGAGGGTATAAGTCATTTTTACAGGCTCTTTTGAGGAGTGCTTAGCACAGACCACCAAAAGTAAAACTAAGTGGCAATTTTAAAATAAAAATAAGATATTGAGAATCTTAATAAGGCCTACCTTGTTATTCTCTTGATGCTACCTTCAATAATAAAAGAAGGGAAACTGAAAACAAATCCCTGGATGGCAATTTCCTCAGAGGGAATGGTATAGTTCCTTTAGTGGGAAACTGTCACCTCTAACCCTCCAAAATGTACTGAGAAAGTGAATCTTTTGAGAAGGTATCCTGGGATAATTTGAGTTTTATGGCTTTAAAAAAATCTGATAAAGTTTCTCATAAAGGCTCACCCAAGACAATAAGTAACCCAATATTACAAATACATGTCCAAGTTGATGAAGCATTTATGGATGTGGGTGAAGATGGAACTTGAGGAAATGCGAATAGAAGATATTGCCATCTAGTGGCACCGAGCGGTGTGAGCACTACTACCTTAATACCATTCTCACCTCTGACGTTGAGTGCTGGTTGATTTAATGTACAAAGATGCCTATGTGTCACACAAGACTAAGATTGTCCCTGCCTATTATATTTCTCATTGGCTTGTCATAAGTGCTTGAAATTTCTATCATAAAATTTACTTTGGGGGGTTAAGGTGGTTGCTTCAACAAGTCCCAAGCCAGGATGGCCAGAAAACCAAAGGAAACAAACAAGTAAACAAAACAAAGTACGCCAACTGTGCAAGGACCAGCCTTGCCAGGGGACACCACACTGCCAATGGAAAGGATTCCCTATCAAGGCAGACGGCCCTGGGAAACACTGTTGCAGAAGAGGGCAGGAGCTGGGTCAAGGCTGTGTGCTTGACAACTCCCCACACGGGAACACGGACATGTCTCCCTGACAGGTTGTTTCCAGAGTGGAAATGGGGAGGGAAATGTAATAGAAAATGCTTGGCACAGAGCAGTCCTTTGAGGTCTAATCTCTCATTACCACACCTTCCAAAAGGCCCCTGCGTAAAATCTACTGCCACGCCTTTCCAAAACCATTTTCTCTACTGCTGGGTGGGTGAATCCGGGCTATTTTAATGAGTCTGTTGCTTATTGAGCACCTGACACCCAGCTGAGTCAGGAAGAAGAAAGAGGAAAGAGGCTATGTGGGGCCTGTTAACCACCTAACAACCACGACTGGGTGACTTCCTTTTTAGTTTACGGTCTTTGGCAAAAGGTCTTCTTAGTGGTCCTTTTAATCACTAACATGATTAAACACCCAAGGATATTTCCTAAACTTTTAATCCATAACACTGAAAACACTCCGGTTAAATAATCTGCACAAAGATGAGCTTTCAGAGACAAATCTTTGAGAGCATCACTTTGAATCTCATTTTTAAAACTAAAACAACCTAAAGTGTTTTTTTTTTAAAGGTGGTTTTGACTGACTCTTTAAAGAGGGAGCAGCTATGAGGATATTTATTCATTCAACATTCGACAAATATTTACTGAGCCTCTACTATACGCCAGGCAATGTTCTAGGCCAGTGCTTCTCAAATATTAATGTGCATATGAACCACCGAGGGATCTTGTTAAAATGCAGATCCTGATTCAATAGAGATGGGGAGAGAGTTGAGAGTCTGAATTTCTAACAAGCTCCCAAGTGACGTCCATGCCACACTCCATGGGCCACATTTTGAGTAGGAGGGTCTAGGTACGCTGGGGAACAAGAGAGCCATGGTTCCTGTTTTTACTATAATCTGGAAATTTGCATTCACTATTGTTTATCTTGCTCTCTGAGCCTCAATTTTCTCTTGTATAAAATGATGACAATAGTTTGCTAGGGTGATTACATAAAAAATGCACATAAAGCATTTGGCAGAGAGCCTAGCATGTAGTAAACACTTGAACAAGTGTCACTGTTGTTGCCGTTGCTACTAGAATGCAGATCTGCTGCTGCGTCACAACGATGAAAACTTTCTTTTCCCCCTGATGATGGTGATACCTCTACTTCTTCCAGGGTTACCTGAATGTCAGTCTTTTCTTGTTCAATCAGTTTCTTGATCTTTTCCTTTTCAGTTAAGTTCTTGGTTCCTTCTCTAATCTGGTTTGCCAGATTAGAAATCTCTTCTGTAGAGAGAGGGAAGAAAAGCAAAGTAAGTTAGCGAATGGCCAAGTCTCAGACCCATGAGACACAGCAGACAGTTCCTAAAGGCCCAGTGGGACCCGCCTTTGGTAACTCAATGGCAGGGCCATTACTAGTCCATATGGGACCTAACAATTAGAAAAAGTCATCCCTTTTTTAATATATATGTATATTTTTTACCATCAGAAAATTTTCTACAACTATTGGTAAGGATGGTGTTTCTTAGAGTGTTGTGCATTGGACAACATGGACAACTTTACAAGGCGGGCCTGCTTGTCAGCGCCATGCCAGATTCCATCTGGAGGAACACAGATCTGGAATCCCTACACTTCCAGTGTAAGTGCTTAGCTATCAACACCAGTGGCTGCTATTGTGTCAGCTGATGCTCCGCTGAGCCAGGAACTTAAAGCACAAGCTGGGTCAGTGTCTGCCAGCAGCCCAGGCCTGTCCCCAGATAGGCCGGAGAATCAGACGGGGATCAGAGAAGACTGGCTTCAGCTCAAGCACTTGAAGGTTTCGGTCAGCCTCTCTCATGGACACAAGCCTTTGGCAGAGAAAGTAAGGCATCCAGAAGTCCCCAAACCTCTGCCACCTGATATTGTTATTGTCAGTTCTGTCTCTTCATGAAGGAAGCCTAGTACCTAAGAGCTGTGGAATTGCCCAGCCCAGAGACAGAGAAGGGAGGCTCAAGAGGTCACCTGCTCCTCCAGTGCTAAGATCCTGGGCTCTGATGTGATATGACAAGAATCTTTCAAAGTTACCAAAAAAGACATGTTTTGAAAAAGCCTTTTTCAGCCCCAAACTCCACCTCAGATCCAGGCTTCACTTGCAAAATTCAAACGCAAATGTGAATTCTCAGGCCCTATCTCAGACCCACTGAATCAGAAACTCTGGGGTGGCCCCAGCCATCTGTGCTCTAACAAGCCTTCCAGGTGGTTTGGATGCAGCTAAAATTTTCTAACCACTGTTCTAGCACCCCACACATGCTCAGTCAGTGATCTGATCTTGGACTATGTAGGTCAACAGAGAAAGCAATTTCATTTATGCCTCCAATAATAATGAACTTGCTTCCAGAGCAACTCAGGGTTTCATGCACCTCACTGTTGGTGCTGGGGTAAGCTGGCAGCCTCTTTGAAGGGCTGTTTGGCAGTATATCAAAATTTACAAATTCATTCCTTTAACCCAGCAATTTCATTTCTAGGGATCTATTTGACTGAAATATTTTTATATGTACAGGGATGTACAATATAGGATTGTTTATATTTGTGAATAATTGGATCTAAAATTAATAAGGTCTGGTTAAATGATAGTCATCCTTACTATGAAACACTATGTAGCTATTAAAAACCATGTGGTAGGTCTCTATGTATAGGCATGCAAAGAACCACAGGTGCATGGGAAGGCTGCATGACTCAGTAGTTAAGTGTATATATGATGGAGCCATGCTGGCTGGGCTCAAATCCCAGATCTGCTACCTATCAAATGTGAATTTGGACAAGTTACTTGACCTTATGACCAATATAATCTCCCTTCTACAAATGAGGAAACTAACACTAAGACTATTCTGAGAATTAAACAATGAATAGTTATATACAGAACAGCATGGGCCTATATGCTGTTCTATATACACACACATAGTCTGGGCTATAGAAATATTTATTAAATTAGAAAATATATTCATAAATGAAAAAGTAAAAGGTACATAAGATAATTGGGTTAAAAATATGTACATGGGCTGGGCATGTGGCTCCCGCCTGCAATCCTAGCACTCTGGGAGGCAGAGGCAGGGGGATCATTTGAGCTGCAAGAGCAAGACCCCATCTCTACTAAAAAAAATAGAAAGAAATTAGCTGGACAACTAAAAAACACATACATACGTATATTATATATACGTGTATATGTGTATGTATATATATGTGTGTGTGTGTGTATATATGTGTATATATATATATGTAAATTAGCCAGGCATGGTGGCACATGACTATAGTCCCAGCTACTCGGGAGGCTGAGGCAGTAGGATTCCTTGAGCCCAGGAATTTGAGGTTGCTGTGAGCTAGGCTGATGCCATGACACTCTACCCTGGGCAACAGAGTGAAACTCTATCTCAAAAAAAAAAAAAAAAAATGTGTTCATGAATACAGAATATACGTGGAAAATCTTAATAAGGCCATGGATATCAAGAAATTCTTAATAGTGACTTTCTTTACAGAGCAGAACTGAAGCTAAAGGTAGGAAACTAGTCTTACTTTTAAAATTAATTTACTACAAATAACATCTGTAGTTAATAAAAATCAGAAGTATTAAAAATTGAAAAGTGAAACATGAGGGGAACATGGAAGTGCTGAGGCCTTGTGCTCACAGAAGACAGCCTTGACCTGTAACCTGGGCCCTCCCAGAGCTCGCTGCTCAGGCTTTGTTCTGAGCCCAGCTCTGAGTACTTTGGAGCTTCTTGTTCTCCCTCCTGAGTGTCTCCTGGCCCAGGGTGCTCTCCTCATAGGCATGCTTGAGTGTAAGGAGCTCACTGCTAAGAGGCTGGACCTCGTTCTGAGAAGCACCCAGCAACACTCGAGACTCCGCATGCTTCTGCTGCCAGTCGGCAAGGGCCTCGTCAGACCACTGCTGCTTCTGGTCCCGCTTGGCTGCCGCAGACCGAGCCTTCCCCAGGTCCGACAGCGTCCTCGAGCTCGAGCTGCAGCCGGTGCCTGGCCCTTTCCAAGGAGGCATTTCTGGAATTGGTCACCTCCATGTCTTCAGCAGCCTCCTGCAACCTAACAGCCAGCTTCTTCCTAAGAAGGGGACACCCAAAGGGCAGTGAAGCAACAACGCTATGAGAGCTCATCAAGTCCGTCCTGGATTATAGACAGTGTTTGGGTACAGAGTAGCGTGGCCTCTGGAGCTGGCTTAATGGGATGAAGCGAAAGCAGCTCGTGTCTGAAAGTGACCTTGAGTACCTGAATCACCTACATGTCTGCTGACCACCATCCTCTGGCTCCTGTGTGCACATGGCCTTTATTGTCCACGCCCTCAGTCAACCTGAACTTGGAACTCAAGATCTATTTGAATTCCTATAAATATTTGCTTATCCTAAACCTTTAATAAGCAATTCTGACTTTGCTGGCAATTTCGTAAGAAATGGGAAAAAGAAGAAGATTATACTGAACAACAACAGTAAGCAACTTAAAAATCTGCAGGCACATCTGGTTGCTAAAGAGCTCCTTGGCTGTGTTGCTTCTAAGGAATACTCTCCTGCTTCCTCGTGCTCATCTTCTCTCCCTCTCATGTGGCTCCTAAACAGGCCACAATTCCCTCTTCTCTCTGATTTCTTCTACAACTCAGCTCCTCTCCCCAGGCTCATATACCCAAATCCACCTCATCATTGTGCTCACTTAACAGGCCCTATTGCCTTTAGTGGGCACTTCGGCCCCCACTGCTGTCCTCCAGCATCGCTGAGATGAGTGGTTCGTCACCATGCTTCCGCCACCACCCCCAGAATACACTGCTCTCAGGAATTCTAATAGGCAAAATGTGTTTTCCTCCCTACATCTCCTGCAGGGATGCTGGCAGTCCCATTCTTACGCATTCATTATACTCCTTAGATGAAATGTACTGAATGTGCCAAAGCTTTTTGTAATCTACTGCTACAAAGTAGAAAAAAGGTCCTCGGAAATTAACATGGACCACACAACTAGGCTAACAGTGCAATGTGGTAACAAAGTCCTCTTTTGGTGGAATCTTGTATCCAGGAAAGATCTGGGCACTATTGTTCACTGACTTTCTAACCATTGTCACTTCATTTCATTGCTTCATTTTCTTAACTGTTAAGAGAAAATTCTGTTGCTTTACCCAACCTAAGACAGTGGTGTTATGACTACTTTGGGAATGCCCTATTGATAGCAGAAAATAGGTGACCAATCATACTGGTTTGCCTGGGACTTCCTGGAATGAGGGGTTTCACCAGGATGTGACAGTTTCAAGGCTGAAACAGGAAAAGTCTAGGGCAAGCTGGACGAATTGGTAACCCTTGTTTTCCTGGTAATTTTGTTCTACATTTAATACCAATGACTATTTTGCTCCTTAACTTGCCAACCATAGCACCTACTTATTTGCCTAGAATATGTAAGGGGAAATTAAGAAACTACATCCTCATCCCTGGAGAACTTAGAACTCAGAAGTAGTAAATTAGGTCTCTGGTGAGTGTGATTCTGCTGAACTCACTCACTGTATGACCCCCAGCCTGGAAAGCAAAGCAGGCAGACCTTCGACTTCAATTAAAAAACAAAACAAACAGGACCCTACATTTTTTTATAGCTTCCTACCTCCCCGAGGTGATTTAGAGGAAAAGCACAATACAGACAAAATCTTATTTGATGTTTGACTAATTTTGAGGCAAAAAGGGTCTTCAGATAGTACCATGTTTGCCCATTATTTTTCTTTAGTTGTCACGTACTATAGAACTAGTTCCAACAAATCTATGTGGTCATAAAGTAGTCTATAAGCTTTCCTTCTTTTTCACACCCTCCCTCCAATAATCTGTCAAACCAAATAACAGATAGTCACTTTCACCCAAGTCTTCAATCATTACAAGAAAAAAAAAATCTTGCTTCAGAAGCAAATGCCATATTTGGATACAAGGAAGCATTTCAGTTCAAAGCCAAAACTTTCTGTGGTCCAGAGTTTTGATAAAACACCTACTGCAGATATTTTTAGTATCTGTCATTCTAAAGCCCTTTTTAAGTTACTGCAGATACAGAGATGGATCACTTGGTACCCCTTCTGGGACAGAACACAGCAGCTGTTCAGCAACTGCACAGCAATGCCTCTGAAAGATTTAGGCGAAGAACTGAAAAACATTATTTCTAGTTGAAGCTAAAGAGAAATGTATTGATCTGTCCTGGATTTTTGCCAAGCTACCAAGATAGGGACACATTCTTTCGAGTAAACCTTCAATGATTATAAGCTGGGGTTAGTTTGACACTTTCCCTCAAAGATACATAGTTCCTCCACCTCTCAGCAAAATGCTTCTGTAGTACACCTTGGTAGTGAGTCTAGACTCAGCTAAGCCCCAAACTTCTGTAGTTCCTGAGAAGAACTTTTAAAACCTTTATGTGGCACCAGCTGTGAAATTGACATTCTAACCTCAGGGGTAGCCTGGGATGATTTCTTTTTAAAGCGAACTTTGTCCCATAAGGCATGATTGACTGATCCTAACATGTTTCCAGCTATCTGTGTCCATCTTCACAGACCACTTTGTAGTCTACAAGTTGTAGACCAGAGGCACAATGACTTTGATATACGGACACGTGTACACACATGGACTCAATTATTTTGGTGTTCCAAATGAAATACAGGATTTTAAGTGATAGCCCATTTTTAAACCATAGGTCAAAATCATATCTTTCATGAAGACTTCCCTCATACCCCTAGAAAGAGCCTCCTTTCTCTCCCCAGGACCTCTCTATCACTTTATATTTTTTCTTTTCTTTTTTTTCCCCCCTCTAGAGCATGTTTTTCTTGCCAGAGATGACTGTTTCAGCTTTGGTTTTGGTTTGGGGCTTGTTCACAAACTCAGCAAGGATTTGTTAAGTACATACCACAAGGCCTTATAGACACACTCATTCTTCTCATACTCCTCTGTGGGACTAACTCCAGGTTAAGGGTAGCCGTGTTCTACTCACTTGGCATCCTCCAAGTCTTCAGTTCTCTGGATGGCACTATTTTCGTACTTCATTCTCCATTGCACCAATTCAGCGTTGCCTTTGGATAGAGCCCTGTGCAGCTCAGCTTTGACCTCTTGTTCTTCTTCATACTGCTCTCGTAGAAGTTCACAGTCACGCCTGGCTGACTGCAGAGCATGGACCAGGGCACTCTGTGACTACAGGGGACACATGTTTGAAAAAAAAAGATACCACCACCATTAACAACAAAAGGCTTGGAGGTAATATAATTTTTTTACTTAGATAAGGTTAATAACAACCTGCCACAAATTCAAGTTGAATCTGAACCTAGTAAAATAATACCAGGAAGAGAATTTGGGACAAGAAGAGAAAGGATAAAGAGTATCTAATTGCTGCCATTAAGACAGGGAAGGAAATTCTATTTAAGGAACCGCCAGCCTGACTATGCGGTCTTCAACAACAGACAGGCCTGGAGTTCTAGAAACAGTGCAGAATGCAAAGGTAGCAAGGAAGACATGTATTGCCATTTAGGCAATAAGATTTATATTTAGCAATATATGAGATGCAGATACTTGTCTGAATCAGAAGGAACTACTGAGATTTAGTCTAGCCTTTTCAGTCCATTGATGAGGGCATTAAATCTTTTATTTCACATTGAAATCTCTGAAAACCTCCATTCTTATCACTTTAAAACAGTGCTGCCTGGTAGAACTTTCTACAATAATGAACTTGTTCCATATATGCACTGTCCACTATGGTAACCACTAGCCCCATGTGGCTATTGAACACTCAAAATGTGCCCAGTACATTGTGTGGTCAAAGCTGAATTTTTAATTTTATTTAATATAAATTTAAATTTAGATAGCCACATGTAATGTAGCAGTGGCTCCTATATTTGTTGGACAGCAGAGCTGAGTTTAATGAACATTTCTATCACTTTAATGGTGGTCTGGCTAATATAGCAAGGTCATTCCCAGGAGATAACCTAAGAACCAGGTTCTGGTCAGTCCTCAAACGTCCTTTACATAAATTAGAAAAAAAGCATCTTCTCCGGCAGATGCAGCTCTGAGTGCACAAGGCTTAGTTCCCGGCAGCCTCAGCATAGACACGCTTCTGTGCTGAGTGAGGAACAACTAACTATACCCGGTGACTCTGAGAAGGACAAGGAGGAGGTTTATCTGGAATCAGATAAACATGGGTTCAAATTGAGATCTTTCCTCTTATTTAATCTTATTTAGAAAGAAAAACTTTCAAAACCATAATGCAGCATTTGTGCAGCATGTATTTATTGAGCCTCTGTTCTAGGCACTAGTATTATAGACATAAAGGAGACAAAGACAAAGCTTCTGCACTGAAGAGCCAGAAAGGAATATAGAGATACACAAAATAAACATATAAACAAATAAATATAATTTATAATAGCAGCCAAAAATAAAATAAGACAGATTGGCATGATATAGAATGTTTGCTCCTTCTCATCATCCCCTAAAGATTTGGGGGAAGGGATTTTTAGCAATGGGAACAGCAGCTATAAAAGTCCTAAGGCAGGAACGAGAGTGGCTTGTTTCAGAAGCAGAAAAGATGCCAGGGCAAGGGGAGAGGAGCAAAGGAGGGAAGCAGATGTATGAGGTAAGGCCACAGGAGGAGGCTGGAGCCAGATCAGGGGGACATGTGGGCCAACTGGAAGTCACTGGGAAGGTAGCCAGAGAGAGCTTCTAAAATATAAATCGAGTCGTTTCACTATCTACTTAAATGCCTTCACAGTTCATCACTGGCTGTGTGACATTGGATGAGTTATTTGTCTTCTCAGAGCCTTTGTTTCTTCATATACAAAGATCTAATTCTACCTGCTTCATACAACTGACATGAATAAGTGGTAATTTAAAAATTTGTATATAATATAAAAAGCATGAAGAGTTAAGGGAATACAATGGCACAATATTTTAAAACAAAGACTCAACCACTTACATCTTGAGAGTACAAGCTTTTTCAGTAAGATCATGTACAAGAAAGGTACTTTGGGGTCTTAGCAACAAGATGCCTTGAATATAAACTAAGAATTAGCTTTAAATTCCAGGGCTCAGAGAATACATCTGTCATGTTAGTCTCTAAGCTTTCATCCTAAAGAACTACTTTCATTGGGGTCACCTTCTAGCACCATTACATATCCTCATGGGAAGAAATGACTAATTTCTATAATTTATTGACAACTAAAAAGCAATATTGAGCTAACCCAGCCCCATTTATTTTATCCTAGTCTTTTATTTAATTCCACTTCTTGGTGAGCAGTTCAGAATCAAAATTCATAAAGAGCCTTGTTGACCTTCTGTTCAAGTACTAATGCAAAATGGAAATACGTACTTTCCTTGCTGTAAATCTGACAAACTATAGAAGCAATTTGAATCCCTAAGTACAATCCCTCCAGTCATCAGGGCTCTTCCTAGCATGGTTTTTTTCCCCCCATAAAACTTCTAGAGCATTTTTCCTTCTTTTGTAGAAGATATAGGCTAACCCACCAACCATCCTTCTTTTAAAAACACATGGGCAAGTGGCTGGTAAGAAATAATAGTGCATTACTTTGGTCTCCTTTTCCAGCTGCCCTCTCAGTTCTTCAATCCACGAAGTGAAGTTGTTCTTTTCCCTGTGAAGTTGGCTTATCAGAATCTCCTTTTCTTCCAGCCTCCTTAGGAACTCACCTGCAGAAAGATTTCACAAAATACGTTAGTCATGATCTTCCTCATCTACTGCCTCCCCCACTTGACTTAATGACTTTAAGGGCAGCCAGAATGACTCCTAACCACATTTGTGATATTTAGGAAGGGTCTGAGAGTCCTGTTATCAGCAAAACCATGCCCATGATCCTTTCCAGGGCTTACAAGAGAGCCCTAAGAGAAGAATTGATTTTTAGTAGCAAATATGAGTTGATAACAGATATTGTTGGCTACTATTTATTGAGAACCGTCTATGCCCTAGGTATTTTTTACATATATATATATGTGTATATATATAATCTAGTTTAATTCTCATAATTCTTTGATAATTATATTAACTATTTTGCAGAGGAGGAAATGGCAACTTACTTAAATCTGACTGAGATAGAAACATACATAGCCAGTAATCAGTGAAGGTAGATTTGAATGAAGTTCTTACCCTAAAGAACACATTCTTTCTTCTATACCATGTTCCCTTGTTTATTACATGTGGCTGTGCCAGTTTCTGTCTATATAATTTTTAGATAATTATAACTTTTTGGCCTCATCTGTAAAAGGAAGATAACAATGTAATAAAAAATTGTTAATGAAAATTCAATGGGTGTGAATGTATTTTATTGACTGAATTGCTAAATAATTATTAGAAATAGTCACTAAATAGTAGGAAATGTGACCATGAGAGGAGAAATTCCATTACATTCTAGTCTATCCTCCCTGTTTATTTCATTAATTGCAGTTGGCCTTTCATATCTGTGAATACGCATTCATGGTCAACCAACCGAGGCCTGAAAATATTCAGGAAAAAATGACGGTTGCATCTGTAACTGAACATGTACAGGCTTTTTTTCCCTGTCATTATCTCCTAAACAATACAGAATAACAACTATTTACATAGCATTTACATTCTATTAGGTATTACAAGTAATCTAGTGATGATTTAAAGTATACAGGAGATATGCCTAGGTTATATGCAAATACTACATCATCTTGTATAAGGGACTTGAGCATTTGTGGATTTTTGTATCCACTGAGGGTCCTGAGATTAATGCCCCTAGGATACTGAGGGATGACTGTATGGTACAGAAATGCCATGGTTACTAGAAATGGTACTGAAAGCTAAGCATGGGCAAAGGTAGTTGCTTCCATAGTATAAGTAGTACAACGCTAAAAGTCCTAAATATTTATGACTTCAACCCCTCTTGCTACAAAGTGGTTCTAAAGCTCTCAGCATTGTAAGGAAGCATCTGTTCGGATTAAAGCAGTGCTTCCCAAACTTTTTGGTCTCAGGGACATTTTATATGCTTAAAAATTATTGAGGACCCCCAAGAGATTTTGTTCATGTCAGTTTTATATTAATGGATAGTGTCATACAAATTAAAACAGAGAACTTTAAACTATATATTAGTTCATTTTAAATTAATAAATGACAATGATATAGTAACATGTTAATATAAATAATAGAGGGGGGAAATGGGCATTTATTGAAACCTTAAAATCTGTACCCCCATAATATGCCAAAATAAAAAAAAAATTTAAAAAATTTAAAAATATATATATAAATAATAGATTTTTAGGTAGAAAAAAATACCCTATATTTTCCAAAAACAAAAAAGTTAGTGAGAAGAATAACATTGCTCTATATTTTAAAAAATCTCTGGCTTAGTGAAAGATAGGTAGAATCTCATATCTGTTTCTGAATTCAGTCTATTCACAACATAATATTTGGTGGGGGAAGTATATTTTCATAGTCTTTTCAGATAATTGTGACCATCATTTGATACTACACCAAAACTCAACAAATAGAAGTTTCTTAATGGTTAGCTGCAATACATAAGCAAACCATATTAATGAACTTTTTTACGCTGTTACATTAAAATTCACTGGTCCACCTTAAACTTTGAATGAAATATTTACCACATATGATTTTGTAATATCATGCTAGGGAGGATTTGAAAAGGTATGTATTCATTGAATTATGCAGCTCTTCCAAATGTTGACACATTTCATTATACAATATAAAGGAGAAAAAAAGTTTTTTTCTGTACTGAGTCACACAATATTTCTGATACCAGATGTGTGGGGAGTTCCCCCACATGCCAAGCAATTCTCCTGTGGACACCAGCAGGGTGTCTACAATTTAACACAATCCTGACACTACCTACCTGGAAATAGTGTGTGTGTGTGTGTGTGTGTGTGTGTGTGTGTGTGTAGGTATATATATCTTATATATCACAACACCACATACAATATTTAAAAAATCATATTTGTTTACGTCACCATCCATCTCATTAGAAAACTCTAAGAATTGAGAGCCACCAAGCTCATGATGGCATTACATGTTTTCTAAAATCTAATTTTTGCCTGAAAGCTCCTATTTCATTATTGCAACAAATGCCTTCAGTTGTATTCCTTGAAATGACAGGTTTACTTTGTTCATTTTTGAGAAAATATCTGCCAAATATACAAGTCTGAATAAGCCTCATTTGTCAATTGTTCTTTCAAGTAAAAGTGATATTCCCTGAAAAAAACCTGCTAGCTCAGCTCAGAACTTAATCTCACACCAGTATGAAACAGAAGTTCTTTATGCATACACATCTTATGCACATCTTACACCAGTATGAAACAGAAGTTCTTTATGTATACTTCTTGTTTTGGTCACACAGAATACTAAAAAATATATAATGAGGGTTGAGATGTATCCAAATTAATTTTTACTGTTTCATTAAGGATATCCTTAAGTGAAACTGACTTCTCTTTTTAAGCTGTGAGTACCTATTAGCGAATACAATGATTACCAGGACAGTTTAGTGACTGCTACCTGGACTTGTGATAAAGCTCCAGCAATTTTAATCATTATTGCTTTTGCACCATCAATTCAAATGAAAAAAAGAATTTTAAAAGCCAATAGCATCTTAGTATTACAATGAAATAGCTTTAAACTGATAGATCTGCTGCAAGGTCTTGAAGATCACTGGGGATCAGTGCACCAAACTTTAAGAATATCTGGGTGAAAACATCACATTTAAAAGGATTCTGAAGAAATGCAAAATCCATCAGGTGCTGAGACTAACATATCATGTATGTAGAAGAACAAGTGTCCACTTAATGGGACCTAATTGATCACATTTACTACAGGTCTCCTCTGCAAGCAGAGTATAAGCAACTGATAGAACAGGACATGAGAAAGAATCGTTGGTAGTAGCCACAAAAAAAAAGCAACAAAAATTTGGAGCATGGACCCAGTGATGGGGAGGAGAGGCTTAGATAGGTATATACTTAAAATTTAATTTACACAAAAGCCAAAAGGTAAAGTTAAAGAGAGGAAGAAAAAGGTCCTGCATCCTATACAGAATTATCATCTCAGATCCACTTCATTTCACCTACCTACCCACCAATTTCCTCATCAAAAAAGTGAGTAGAAAATTAATGCCAGTACTAAGGGGGAGGCAGCCAGTGCCTATCAAAACAAATTTTATACAGCACTTCCCTCAGAGCCAGACATACAGATATTCTCCAGCTTTGCTTCTGGACTGTGGAATCCACACACCAACTACACCCTAAATGGCACAAGAGATAAACTGGGGGCTTTGTAGCAAGGCCCAATGTCACACACCCTGTTGGCAGTATAAGAAGTGTCCTATTCAGTGTCCTTGCTAAAACCAGAAACACTGTCCCTTTATAGAGTTCCAGGTTTGTAGTTTTGTCAACTAATTTTCATTTAGCTTTGACCCTAGATTTAGCATCTAGAAATAGAGGTGCCTACTGGCAGAGGATTTTATATAGCCCAAATGGTCTTCAATCTCTTTTTAAAAATGTGTGCCTCTGAGCATCAACAATGCATTGTTTATTTATTTTCATTGACCTAAGAATTCTATCTCTGGGAATCTATTACTAATTCTAGTTATAGGCAAACATCCAGCCACATGCTATTTATAGCAGAACAACAAATTACAGGGCAAGGTTAAGTATAGTCCAGCTACTTGATTAATTAGAAGCAGCCATTATAAATGATGGAGTATACAGCATACAAAAAAGCTTATAAATAAGCTTTTTTAAATTTTTTAAAAACCCAAAGAGATTGCTACAATATAAAACATTAGAAAAAAATTGAGAAAAACATATCAATAGTAGTTGATAGTAAAAAATAAACCATGCAACATTTGTCTAATTTTAATTTATTTATCAAATGTTTATGGAGCACCAATAAGTGCCAGGCAGTGTTCTAGAGGATTGACATACATCAATGACCAAAGACCCCTGCTCTCATAGGAACTATATTCTGACAGAGGGAGAGAAATAAACACGTATTATGTCAAGTATGCAGTTTGTTTGAAAGTAATAAATACTAAGAGAAGTACTTTGAGCAAATGAGTTGATAGTGCTCTAATGTCATCTTCTCAACAGGGCCTATCCTGATCTGCCTCAGATATGCACTTGATTAGCTCTTATCTGCAAGTCCGTGCAGAATCAATAAGGTATTCCAGGCAGAGGAAGCAGCTAGGCCAAGGCTCTAGGATGGGAGTGTGCCGGTGTGTTCAAAGCACAGCAAAGAGATCAATGTGGTGAAGGCAGAGTGAGAGAAGGGGCAGGTGGGAGAAGAGATCAGAGGGACAATGGGAACAATCACACAGGCCCATGTAGCCCATTGTACAGACCATAGCATCCACTGAGTGTGAAAAGAGATGCAGGTTCACTACTGAAAAAATTTTAAATGCTCATTCAGTTAAGCAGAAGTTGTACAACAAGTCATGACTAGTAGACTGTGTGGACAGCCCTTACCATCCTTTGATCTTGAAAGTTGCCTCTGCTGACTGCTATTGCTCTTCTGCTTCATAGAAGGGAGCTGGGCAGGGCCTCCTAAAGTGGCATAGAGGTAAGCTTCCCAGACCAGAGGCATGTCTGTGGACAAAGACATCTCACAGGCTGCATTCCACACCTAGAATCTTTAAATGTCCAGGTCTGAGCCTGCTGGGATTGAGGATGACTCATGAGTGAAGCAGCACATTTACTTACCATTCTCACTCCTCAGATTTGTCTTCTGTGTTGTCAAGTCCTTGGCGAACTGAGTGGCCTCGTTTAGTTTTGCATTTGCTTCATTCAAGTGCTCTTCATACAGACTACAGAGTTTCTCAGCATTAGCCTACAAGTTGAGAAAGAAGGGCTGGTCATGGCTCAGAGAAGCTATGCTGAATTAGCTGCACAAGGAAGGAGGGGATAGGTGGCTCCTGGGACCCAAGTGCTCTCTTCTTCTGTAAAGACCACAGCCAGCATTGGGAAATCACATCTTCTAATCTAAGCAAGTACAATCGACTCTAGGGCCTGGGTCCCTAAGAGGCCTGAACTTCACAGCCTATAGGTATCACTGGAGGAAGTTAACTTCCTGGGTATTAGGACCCTTCCAGAATTGTTTGCTTTTCTGGAGAAGGAAACATACAAAATGCTAATAAGGTACATGATCATGATCTGATATTATATATCTAACTGTCCTTTTCTCCGACTAGAATATAAGTTTCATAGTGATACAGATTCTGTTTGATCATTACACCCCCAGTGTCTAGAATCATGCCTAGAATATAATAGGAGCTCAATAAACAAGGATAGAAGTGCAGAGGGAAGGAAAGAGAAGAGGGAGGGAAGGAGGAGGAAGGAAATCGAGAAGGCTACCCAAGTAGGATAGGAGAAAGTATTAATAGATGGATCAGAGTGGCAATAGCCTAATAGCAGAGATTTGAGCTGTCAAAGCAACTGTACCCTCCTGATTACTGTGGCTGCAGGCTCAAGATAATCCCGTTGGGTTAATACTTCAATTGCAAACTTCAAATTTTCAGAATTGGCTTTTCGAGTTTGGAGAAAAAGATATGGCATCGGCCTTCACACTTCTACCTGACTTAGGTAATCAATATAATCATCAGATTCTTGCCACACTCTGGAAACTCTCAGTTGATACAGCAGCCCATGAGACCTTTGTCTCCACAAAGAAAGTGTGCTATGGAAAAGGAGGAATAAGGAGACAAAGGGATTACACCAATGGCATTTAGAGAAAATGGTGAGATTGGAGGAAATGATGAAAGCTGGTGATAAGCCTAGTAATTTCAATGTCAAACTAATTGTTATGATATAGCAACGGCCCCAAACCAGGAACATTTAGAAGATGATGCCAGGTTTAGTCCTCTGGAAAACATCTAAGTCAGCAAAAACTTTAACCTTCTCTAGCTGGAACCTATGCTCTGTTGAACATCGTTTTCCTCAAGCCTAATTAGTGACTATTGTAAATTCTCTATAAAAACTAATAAATTATGTTCTCTTATATTAGCTTGCTGCAAAAGTAATTGTGGTTTTGGCATTGCCATTTGATATTGGAATACATTCCTAAATAAATGTGGTTATGTTATACATCATTTTAATGCACATTTCTTGATATTTTTGCTAATGACTTATTACTTGCTGTTTATATTTATTTTAGGCTATGGAAATGATGTTAGACAAAAAGCAAATTCAAGTGATTTTCTTATTCAAGTTCAAAATGGGTCATAAAGCAGCTGAGACAACTTACAACATCAATAACGCATTTGGCCCAGGAACTGCTAATGCAGTGCTAGTGCAGTGCAGTGGTGATTCAACAAGTTTTGCAAAGGAGACAAGAGCCTTGAAGATGCGGAGTGCAGTGGCTGGCCATTGGAAGTTGACAACGACCAATTGAGAGCAATCACTGAGGATGATTCTCTTACAACTACTCGAGAAGTTGCCAAAGAACTCAATATTGTCCATTCTACGGTCATTCGGCATTTGAAGCAAATTGGAAAGGTGAAAAAGTTCAAAGTCGATGCCTCATGAGCTGACGGAAAATCAAAAAAAAATCATCATTTTGAAGTACCATCTTCTCTTCTTGTACACAACAACGAACCATTTCTCAATTGGATTGTGACGTATGACAAAAAGTGGATTCTATATGCCAACCAACAATGATCAGCTCAGTGGTTGGACCAAGGCCAAGCTCCAAAGCCAAAACTTGCACCAAAAACGTTCCTGGTCACTATTTAGTGGTCTGCTGCCAGCGTGATCCACTCTAGCTTTCTGAATCCCTGTGAAACCATTACATCTGAGAAGTATACTCAGCAAATCAATGAGATGCACTGAAAACTGCAATGCCTGCAGCTGGCATTGGTCAACAGAAAGGGCCCAATTCTTCTCCAGGATAATGCCCGACCACATGTCACAACCAATATGCTTCCAAAGTTGAACGAATTGGGTATGAAGTTTTGCCTCATCACCATATTCACCTGACCTCTTGCCAACCAATTACCACTTCTTCAAGCATCTCGACAACTTTTTGCAAGGAAAACGCTTCCACAATCAGTAGGATGCAGAAAATGCTTTCCAAGAGTTCATCGAGGCTGGGTGCGGTGGTTCACACCTATAATCCTAGCACTCTGGGAGGAGCTGAGGCAGGAGGATTACTTGAGGTCAGGAGTTTGAGACCAGCCTGAGCAAGAGTGAAACCCCATCTGTACTAAAAATAGAAAAAATTAGGCGAGTGTGCTGGTGTATGCTTGTAGCCCCAGCTACTCAGAAGGCTGAGGCAGAAGAATTGCTTGAGCCCAGGAGTTTGAGGTTGCTGTGAGCTAAGCTGATGCCACAGCACTCTAGCCTAGGCAATAGAGCTAGATTCTGTCTCAAAAAAAAAAAAAAAAAAAATCTAAAAGCACGGATTTTTATGCTACAGGAATAAACTTATTTCTTGTTGGCAAAAATGTGTTGATTGTAATGGTTCCTATTTTGATTAATAAAGATGTGTTTGAGCCTAGTTATAATGATTTAAAATTCGTGGTCTAAAACCCCAATTACTTTTGTACCAAACTAAATACCGTGTTTCTCCGAAAATAAGACCTACCCATAAAATAAGCCCTAGCAGGATTTCTAAGCATTTGGGCAATATAAGCCCTACCCCGAAAATAAAACCTAGTGATGGGCGTGGCTACACAGTGTATCTGCACAATCCATGCATTTTGCTGCGGAGCGGTAAAGAAGATGAGTAGCCCTTCTCATCTGCCCCATGAGAGCTCTATTGCTCGACAGGAGAGATTGGGACCAATGGTTCTAAAGGAAATAGAGTCACAAGAAATTCAGGATGAATTCAGGGTTTGGAGAGTTATGATGATGTTCCAGAAGAAGATAACGTAACTATATTTAAATAAATGTAGATTGTTGTACCGTACTTAAAAAAAATAACACATCCCCTGAAAATAAGCCCTAGGGTTATTGGGCTTCTTGAGGAAAAATAAATATAAGACCCTGTCTTATTCTTGGGAAAACACTGTGTCTCCCATGCAGTGCTTGACAGGGTAGGCATTTAATAGATGCCCAAGATATTCAAATTACTACAAACTTTAGTGAGAGTTTGGCCAACATACCTGCAGAAGTTTCTTTAGGTTACATTCAAGCTTTCCTCATAAACCCTGACCTCCAGATTTGTTTTAACTTGGTGAGGCTGTTACCCACTGAAGAGAAACAAGAACCCAATCAGGCACATGCCCATTTGGAGGCTGACAAGTAAGACCATGTAGTTCCAACCACAGATGTCCTACAGCACACACAGGCATGGCAGTGGTTGTGAAATTAGATCTGGCAGAGATTCATTGACCAGCTTCTCACACAATGCCAACAGTCTCTCTAGGTTAGAGCGTTCGTGTCAAATGCCAGGTGTGCTCAATTATCTATTCTCCACTCGTGACTAGAAGCAGCCATGGTGCTGATCAATGTAATAGTAATAGGTTGTCTGTACAGTTTCTAATTATATTTTGAATGTTGAATTTGGTTGCTCTCACTTGTGATAGTGACTTTGACAGTCAAAGTTGGCACACTCATTTTTTTCCCTCACAATATCCCTCAAAAGTTCAGATTTGCTGTGTTTGATAAATAAGAAAACTGAGCACCAGAGAGAATAAATAACTATTCCAAATTCACATAGCTAGTAAGTGTTAGAATTGAGGTTTGAACTGAAACTGCCTGTGCAGATGCACACACACAAAAAGTCAGCTATTAGATTCCTACACATCTGTTGCACAAAGTAGTGATAACAAAGGAAATGTTAAAGATTAATTGACAATGTCCTACTTGGTCTGAATTGTCCCAATTCCTAGGTCCTCGAGGAAAATGGATAAAAATATGATTATGAGAACCACCTTTATTTTATGACATCTCCAATAATAAATGGCCCATTAACAGAACCAGGAGGAACATATCCAGGTGTGAGAAATGGCACTTCTGTTTACAGCCCTGAGTATGCTATGCTATGCACCTGTTTGCTGAGGTTGAAAAAGTATAGATCTCTATAAGACAACTTAGTCAATGGTGTGTGGAAATGGCGAGAAAAGGAGCCAGAGATGCCCTAGTTTTCAAGAGAGGCCCATGTGGTGAAGGCCAGCTAGGCTGTGCATATCTGTAGAGTGGGCAGCCCACCTGGGCAGATAGAAAATGCACTTTCCCTTAGGCATAGCTTAACATGGTGGGTATCCAAGCACTGCTAACCAGCTAACATGGGTATAATGTTTTCAATTTATGTAGTATTTTCATAAGCAGCATCTGTAAAAGACAATGAAGTTGTTTATCTAAAGGTGGCCTGTACAAGGATATAGCATGCAAAAGTGCTGTACCTTCAAAAGAGTTTCAAATTTAAGCATACGAATAAACAACAAATTTTGATGCCGGGGAAGAAGTAGTTAATGGAATAATGCACATTTATCTTATAGCTAATTCTTAAAATGATGCATGAAAATGCTGCCTCCCAGAAACACCGGAACCAATGGGAATTCAAAATGATCAAGAAAATTGTGAGATTTCCTATAACTCCTAAATTGCCCTGGGCCTCTCAGCATAATATGCTTTTGAAAATTCTTTAGTTTCCATTGTACCACTGAGCATTGGCATTCTTGGCATCATAATGCAGAAAACAAAAGATAAAACAATTCAAGAAAAAGTTCAGCATAATATATATGCTTATGAGGGTGAATGGAAATAATTTACCTTGCCAACAAATATTTAAGGCAGCCCCAGAATGTGGTCACCCACAGAAATACACAGGACTTGGAGTTAAGGCCTATCTCTTCCATGGAATTTTGTGACCTTGGACAAGTCACTGAA